TGTTTTACCCCAATCCTAGTCCCTGGCCAAAAACCGTTGAATCAGTCAATGACCCATTGACCCGGGTGGTCAAACCGTTGACTCATTGACCCGTTCAATAGTTTTTCCCATTTTTTTATTTTTTAATTGGGAACCATCCAAGGAACTGGTTCCGTTTTATACCAATCACAGTCCTTGGCCAAAAATCATTGAATCGATCAACGACCCATTGACCCAAGTGGTTGAACCATTGACCCATTGACCCATCCAATGGTTTTTGGTTGTTTGCTTATGAGTCACACGCTTGACTGACATAACACAAATGATATTGCTTAATGGACCTCACACACTCAATTTTTTGCCTGTAATTTTTGTTGTTAGAGAGGGTCGTTCATTCGAACCGAATGGTCAAACTGTAGTTTTTTTAATTTTTTAATTGGAAACTGTCTAGGCAACTAGTTTTGTTTTACCCCAATTCCGTCTGTGGCCAAAAACAATTGAATCGATCAATGACCCATTGATCCAAGCGGTTGAACCGTTGACCCATTCAATGGACTTTGGTCGTTTTTTTTTTTTTTAATTTTTGTTGTCAGAATGGGCCATCCATTTGAACTGGACGGTCAAACCGTCAACCCAAAAACCGGTGGCCAGAACAGTTTTGCTTTTGAATCGTATGAGCCATACGCTCGAATGAAATAACACGTATGATACTTCTTAATGGACCTCACACATTGAATTTTTTGCCTATAATTTTTGTTGCTAGAATGGACCTTCCTTTCGAACCAAACGGTCGAACCACCATTTTTTTAATTTTTAATTGGGAACCGTCTAGGCAATCGGTTCTGTTTTACCCCAATTCCGATCCTTGGCCAAAAACTATTGAATCGGTTAATGACCCATTGACTTGAGCGGTCTAATCGTCAACCTGTTCAATGGTTTTTGGCCATTTTTTATTTTTTTTATTTTTGTTGTTAAAACGGGTCATTCGTTCGAACCAGATGGTTGAAACATCAACCTGAAAACCAATGGCTAGAATGGTTCCGTTTTACCCTAATCCATTTTCGGGTCATAGGGCTGTTCATAAGAAGACCCAACCCGACCAAATCGACCAACCCGGACCGACCCAACCCGATTCAATCGGGTTTTCTTCAGCACTAGTCGGTTTCGGGTTATAAAAAATCATAAACCGATGATTTGGTTTGGTTTCAGTTTTCATGTGTGAAAACCGAAACCGACCCGAACCGAACCGACTTAGTAGTTAGTTCCTAGTTAGTAGTTACAACCTACTTAGTTCCTACTTAACTAAGTTGTCTCTATCCTAGTTACAACCTACTTAACTAAGTTGTCTCTCAAACTCTGCTCCTTCCACAACTGGATCCATGGATGGGCCACAAAACATTAAGGAAATGCTGGTTTCCTTTGGGAATGTAAAGCCATAAATGAACACTTGAACAACAACTAAGTCACCACTAAGTAGAGTCGAAATTGACCCAAACTGACCCAAATCGACTCAAACCGACCAGGTCGGTTTTGCTTAACATAGGGTCGGTTTCAGTTTCAATTTCAAGTAACCCGACCAGGTCGGGTCGGTTGGAAAAACATCAGTAAACCGACCCAACCCGACTCGTGAACAGCTCTATCGGGTCGTATGAGTCACATGCTCGAATGACAGAACACGTATGATATTGCTTAATGGACCTCACACACTCAATTTTTTGCCTATAATTTTTATTGTCAGAATGGGCCGTCCATTTGAACCGAATGATCGAACTATTGACTCAAAAAATGGTGGCCAAAACAATTCCATATTTTTTTGCCTATAATTTTTGTTGTCAAAATAGCCCATCCATTCAAACCGGATAGTCAAACTATTGACCCGAAAACCAGTGGCGGATAAGAAGATTTCTTATATTTGTTTCTTGTAATTTGGAAATTTTCAATGAAGAATCATATATATATATATATATATATATATATATATATATAAGGCTTAGTTTGGAAAGAGTACAAATACAAGTATGTAGAGTGCAAATCCTTGCATTTTGTGCTATTTTGTATGCATTTACATTGTATATATTTGTATTTGTACTCCATCGAAACTGAGCCTAAAGGGAAATCTACTGCCATTTGGCAAAAGGGGAGACCACCCCTATCCCTTTAATATATATACTAGCAGAAGGGGCCCTGCGTTGCATGGGCTTGCTCATAAACTATCAAGATCGAGCTCGATTTGAATTAGACTTGATCTCGAGCTCGAGCTCAGTTCAAGTCAAAAGCTCAAAAGTTCAAGCTTGACTATCTTTGATTGTAGGTCTCTCAAGTAGTTGAGGTTCTAAGCTGAAGTCTCCCTCAACTTCTGAGGTGCCAAACCAAGGTCTCCCTCAGCTACTGAAGTGTCGAGCTAAGGTTTCCCTAGCAGGCGAGGTGTCAAGCTAAGGTTTCCCTTAGTTGACAAGGTGTTGAGCTGAGATCTCCCTCAGTTGTCGAGGTGCTGAGCCGAGATCTCCCTTAGTGACCAAGGTGTCTAGCTGAGGTCTCCCTTAGTGGTTGAGGTGAAGGGGCCTTGTGTTGCAGGGGCTCACTCATAAACTATCAGGCTCAAGCTCAATTCGAATTAAAGACATAAGCTCAAGCTTGAGCTCGGTTCGAGCTTGGCTACCTTTGATTGCAGGTCTCTCAAGTAGTCGAGGTTCCGAGCCGAGGTCTCCCTCAATTGTCGAGGTGCCAAACCAAGGTCTCCCTCAACTGCTGAAGTGTCGAGCTGAGGTTTCCCTAGCAAGTGGGGTGTCAAGCTAAGGTCTCCTTTAGTTGACAAGGTGTTGAGCTGAGGTCTCCCTCAGTTGTCGAGGTGTTGAGCTGAGATCTCCCTTAGTGATCGAGGTGCCGATCCGAGGTCTCCCTTAGTGGTCAAGGTGTCGTTTAGCTCGATCTCGATTTGAATTAGAGACTCGAGCTTGAGCTCAGAAGTTCAAGTTTGGCTCGACTTGAACTCAACTACTTTTGATTACAGGTCCCCTAGCAGCCGAGATACCGAGTTGAGGTCTCCCTTAGTTGGAGAGAGAGTGGCATTCTTATAATTTGAAAGAAAAAAAAGCAAGAAAGAGAGAGAGAGTTGGTATGAGAGAGTGGCATTCTTGTAATTTGACAAGAGAGAATTAGTAGAGAATGATATTCTTATAATTTCTATGAAAAAAGGCAAAAAATACTGTTTAATTCTATTTCCCTCATCCTTGGACATTCTTACGTACACATTTTAGCTTAATAGATTTATATTGATATATATATATATATATATATATATATATATATATATATATAATAAAAGATAAGATAGTTATAAGTAGATTTTAAAAAATAAAATGAAAATTGCATCACAATATTTTAGTTGTGAAAAACCACACCATCGCAATATTTTAATATCTAACACGCAAATGACTCACTCTTTCCAAGCAAGTCAAACACGCAAATATAAGTTTCCTGATTGTTTCCCTTTTTCGTTGATTGTTATGTTGTTTGGTTGTGAAAAACTACACCAACTAATTGGTTTAATCCACCGGTCTAACTTTATGACAAGACAACTCCCAATTACCACTAAACGAAAGTAGAAACCGGATCTGCTCCTCACTGAGGGCGCCTCAAACGGACCTCACACCCACACTCTACCATGCATTTGGAACATTTCCTCTGCTTATAAATTGTTATTTACGGGAGATGTTTGCAATGTTTCAAATGCATGATTAGATGTGGTGGCTGATGTGAACACATCCGTTGACAGTTTAACACCAGGCTTGCTTGTTTTGGTAAACATGGACACAAAGTCAAAGAAAGGCAGAACAATTAGTCAAATAAGTTAGGTGGAGATAATAAAATGTATCACCCGATTGTCATCTTCTATTTCCTCCCGGTCAACACGTTTGTGTTTTGTTATCCGGGTTCAATTCCATTAGGATTATGTGTCCAAGGCTGTCAGGTGTCAGCCAAACATAAAGGATTTTTTTTTTTTTTTTTTTTTTTTTTTTTTTTTTTTACGGCTTTTGCAAAAGGAAATTAAGCTTGAGTGTCCTCACTCATGATGTTGCTAAAAGGACTAATCTGATTGATTGTATTTCTTACGTCCCGTACGTTTGGTTTGTAGGAATAGAGGTTTGGAATTGAAATTAAAATGGACTATTTCCATTTTAATTATTTGGTTGGGGGGTATTCGAATCTCATTCCCATTTACAGTTGGAATAACATTCTCTTATTTGAGGGAATGGTCATTTTTTGCATCTTTTTTGGAATGAAATTCCATTTCAGATGGTTCCAATTCACATTAATAGATTATAGGAATGAATCATTCTGATTCCGTTTTGAAGGATTTTGACTCCAATTTCGATTTCAGTTTCAACTATAAACCAAACGGGCTCTTAATTTTTTAATGATAAATCTCACTTTTTTAGGAAAAAAAAGAAATCATATTTGAAATCTCATCACTCATTTGAATGAGATACGGTACTGACTTGTGGTTAGTCGATACATCTCCATCGACACTCCATTTGAATGAGATCTGTGGTTAGTCAAGATCCTGATTTAACATGTTCCGGCTGCGAGCTTGAAACAACGTCAAAGAATGTATTAACCTGTTTTGGTTTGATTGGATAAAGAAATATTTGTTTGATAATTTGTTGCGTCTTGTTCTCATTCGATAACTAGAGGTCTTAAATATAAGTTATAAAAATGTAGATAGTCAAAGCACAAAGGGATATTTGAGAAAGAAAAAAAAAAGTTTATTGACGTGTAAAAAAATGTGAATAATTAGAGTACAGGTAAGAATTTATAGTCGTACGTGTGCAAACTTGAAGGACGATAATAAAATTTGGTGCACGTATAAGCTATTACTATCATCTTCATCTTCAATGTCCCTTGTTTCATACCTGTGCTTCAACTCTTATAGTCCGTGTAGAAGAAATAATAGAGTTTCTGTTACTTTTCTTCTTGTGTTTAAAACTATAAATTCTCATCAACTGGGCATATACTATCAATTGAAAGTGTCTACAACAAGTAATGGAGTGGCCGTTGGCTTTGCGAAATTTATGGGTGATGATGGTTTTGGTTATTGGGTTGGATCATGGGATATTGGGGTGCTTAGAGGAAGAAAGAAGGAGTCTGTTAGAATTCAAGGCTTATGTCCAACCTTACTTGAATTATCCCACTCTTCTCCAATCTTGGGTTGATGATGATAGCGGGAACCATGACTGTTGTGCCTGGGAGCAAGTTAAGTGTAATTCCACCAGTGGCCGAATCATCCAACTCTTCCTCAATAAAATGATGAATGAATATACATATTTGGTTGGTTTGAACGCGAGCTTGTTTCTTTCATTTGAAGAGCTTCAACATCTTGACTTATCGGAGAACTCTTTAGAGGGATTTGTAGAGAATCAAGGTAATATATCAAATTGGTGTTGCTGCACTCTCTTTTAACTCCAAGGTTATTGAACTTTTTTATTAGCTAATTGAAATAATGATTATGTTATAATGCAATGTCTAAGCCAGCAACAGATTATTAAAGCATAAATTAATCAGGTAATCATCCTTGGAAGTGAGGAACAGGAAGCTAACTATCCAAGGCAACAGCCTAGTTAAATTGATGGGGTGCATTAAGCTTCAGCTTTTTTTTTTTTTTTTTTTATTTGGGTCATTTACTATAATACCTCTTATAGTTTTACATATGTACTTAAACCTACTTCATAGTTAATTTGCATTTTACTAAAGCATACCATATAGTTTGTAAACTATTTACTTAATCAACTTTACAGGCATTAAGAAGTATTTATTTTTCCATATGAAAATAATAATATGATCACATAAACTAGGTGGAAAATGTTTAAGGGCATGAACCCATGCCCTTAAATTGAGTGGAAAATGTTCAAGGGTATGGATTCATGGTTGTTTATTCCAAAAGTACCCTTAACACTTTTTTGCATAGAAAATAAAATTGACCAAATTGAGAAAAATAGTGGTGTTCATGTTTTCTTGGGGCAAAACTAGAATTTTTGTTTTTAATTGATTTTGGTTAAATTTATTTTGAATGGATATTAGTGATAACATTGTCATTTTTGATTAAGTAAATTGATTGCAAACTATAAGGAATGTTTTAATAAAACACAAACTACAAGGTAGATTTTAATAAATTCATAAAACTATAAAGGGTGTTTTAATAAATGACACTTTTTTTATGCCAGCATTAAGCTTCCTTAGATCTCTCAAGAATATCCATGCAGGCTTGAAACCATTGAGTAGATTGAAGAAGCTGGAGGTCCTGGACTTGAGTTCGAATTTCTTCAACAATAACATCCTGCCGTCTTTGGGTTCCCTCAAATCTCTCAAGAATCTGTCTCTTAGTACAAACTCTTTTACAAACCCATTTCCCTATGAAGGTATATATATTGAATATGGTTTCTATTTTTTAAATATTTATATTTTGTTGTATGTCTAAAATTTTAATAAAAAATTTGTAGAATTAGCGGGTTTGGAGAAATTGCAAATGTTGGATTTGAGTGGAAATAGATTAAACGGCACTCCAGGACTACAAGGTAAGCCCAAGTAATATAATTCATGTGTTTTTGATAAATTTGGATCAACCGATGAATCTGTCCAATTAAGTATCCCTTTTTATGATGGCGTTGCATCAATCTCAAAAGATTTTCATGTAGCTAGCGCATGCATTGATATTTGGAATGGAGTGGAAGAAATAGGAATAATACCCAGATCCTCTTTTTCTTTCTTTCATTTTCATCTTGTCTGATCAACATTTGGAATGGCCTATTACTACCCAGTCACAGTGAATCGATCGAGTATATGAATATTATCATATTTGTTCAGTAGTACGTACTGTTAGTTTTTTTAATTTGCTTTCATTTTTCTTGGAATACAAATTTTATAAATGAAGCTATGCATAACTTAAAATGAGATTTTTGACCATTTGGACCATATTCTTCAACGATAACTCTTTCAGGTTTGGAACCGTTGGGTAAATGGAAGAAGCTGGCGATTCTGGATTTGAGTAATAATGGCTTGGACAACAGCATCCTTCCGTCTTTGGGTCTCCTCAAATCCCTCAAGAATCTGTCTCTTCATGGAAACTCTTTCACAAACCCCTTCTCTTGTGAAGGTATTCTTTCACAAACCCCTTTTATTGTATATGTGTATGTGTTAAATTTCAGATATATTCTTAATAAAATCCATATGGTCAGGCTATTTCCTAGTTACTTTTGTTTTGTCAAATGTGTTAAGTTTTGATACAAAGTTAATTTATAGAATTAACGGGCCTGGAGAACTTGCAAATGTTGGATTTGAGTTACAACCGATTAAACGGCATCCAAGGTAAGCCCAATTGTTTTTCTTTTTTTAATTTTTTTATTTCATGTCATTTTTTTAAAACAACCAACAGATACTCGAATTCCCCTCTACTCTCTCCTCCAATCCTATCTCAAAAAAAAAAAAAAAAAAAAAAAAAAAGAGAAGAGAAGAAGACTCAATATTCTCTCTTAAATTATCTTTAATTTTTATTTATCCTCTCTCTTCACTAGAACCCCACCTATTTACACTCTTGATTTATAAGAATTTCTAAATTATCTCCAACTCCTCTATTCTCTCTACTTTCCCACAAAAATAGGGCCCTAGTTAGTAAGATTTGATTTAGCAACTAACATGAGGGTCAACCCAATCATCCATTTTTTTTACTTTTTTTAGAGTATTAAACTACTTAGTTAATTAATGATTACATAATTAAGTCATTAATTAATTACATAATTCTTCAATTATTTAACTTCAAAATTAAATAAGTTATAACTCAGTTTATTTCATTAACCTACTTAAGGTCATTACCTTAATTAATTAACTTCATTACCTTAATAAAATTAAATTAGTTAATTAATTATTAGTTACAATTGTGTACGCCTAACTTTTATAGGGTTATTTAATCAATTATTTGTATTTGTTAAAGTATAAAATTATTACTTTAGTTTCTTAATTACATTAATGAACTTAAAAATGATTATATAATCAAAAAATATTAATCAAATAATAAGATAATTATATAATTAGTTAACTAATTATAATATAATTATCAAGCAAACAACGAAGTAATATAATATAATTCAATGTTTATTTGATAATTTTGGATGGTTTAATCTGATCAAGTATCGTTTTGATCACATTGCATCAAACTCAGATTTCTATGTAGCTCATGCTTTAACATTTGGAATGGACTAGAGTGGAAATTACTATTTCACAAATCCTTTTCCCTACGAAGGTATAATAAATTTAATTTTAGTTTATTTTTTTTTTAAATTAAGGGAAAATTATATATTATTGCCCTATACTTTGGGCCTAGTCTCACTTTGATCGTAAACTTCAAAAGGAATAGACCATTTTAAAATGGCAAAACTACCTTTTGTAATATTTTTTAGATCATTTTATCCTTTTCTTTTGAATGTTAAAAGTCAGGATTCTTTTCTCTTCAACAAAAAGATTGGCTTAAACCCAAAGCTTTTGCTCATTAATTATTTAGATAAAGAAAATTAGATGACACCCAAACGATATTTATGCCTTTTCATATGTCACTTAACGTTAACTGATTAATGGTAGGTACTAAATTGACATGTTTTGAAAATTTAACTACTACATTGATGCACTTTGAAGTCTGGGAATCAAAGTGAGAGTAGACCTAAAAAATAGGGTATAAATATGCAATTTTCTCTAAAATTAATCTATGGTTTATGGTCAAATTCACTCGTTCTTAGTTACTTTTATTTTGTCATAATTCTGAAATTTTAATTAATACAAAATTAATTTATAGAATTAGTTGGTATGGAGAACTTGCGAAAGTTGGATTTGAGTGACAGTGGATTAAACGGCACTATAGGACTCCAAGGTACGTAAGCCCAATTAAATATTTTATAACCTAATTGTACCGAACTCACGAAAAGCTATGGATCTGCCATAATTTGTTTTCATTTGTTTCAATACACGGGGAAAGAAATGCCTAATTCAAACACTTTGCAGGTTTTAAACACTTATCTGATAGGTTGAAAAATCTGGAGGTCCTCGACCTGAGTGTTAATTCCTTGGACACAAGTATTATTCCATACTTGGGAGCCCTTAAATCCCTCAAGTCTCTGGATCTCTCTTGGAATGAAATGGAAGGGGTCTTTCCTGGCGAAGGTACCTACGACTACTTAATTAGTGTTCATTTTCTTGTCATATAATATTTTCTCTCAACAATGTTAATTAACAGTCAATACCCGGTATAATGTTGAAATCTCGTCCCAATTTGGTGGTTTTGTAGAACTGGCGGATCTACACAACTTGCAAATGTTGGATTTGAGTGGTAATCGACTTAACGGCACTCCACAAATCCTAGGTATGTCCTATTGATGCAGAGTGCTGCCTAGGGGTGTCAATGAATCGGTTTTGGGTTAGACTTCATCCCAATTGAAATCCATTTGGATGAATTGGATGGACCAATAAAACATATTGAATTTGGACAGATTGGACGGACCAATATGACATATTGGATTGGACCTGGTCTGTCCATAATGAATTTATATTGGATTGGGGCAATATCTGATTCATTGGTAGAAGATAAGAACATAGGTGTCAATGGACCAGGTTTGAGTTGAAACCAGTCTAAGTTAACAGGAATTTGAACAGATTGGATAGCCTCTGGACCGGTCCAAAATGGTCCAAAATATTCATTGGACTGGATTCGACCAGGTCCATTTGTAATGGACTCACATTGGACTGGACCGGATTGGACCAAATCCTGTGCAATTGACACCCCTAATGCTGCCCCACCTCATTGGTCATTTCATTTAATTTACCTGAAGAATAAAAATAAATAAATTAATTAAATTAAAATATAAATTGAAGAAAAGGCCTCAAAAATTTTAAGGGTTCAACTATAATATCTGAATGATTTTTCATCAATTAAGTGGAATCATAAACGTGGTGATCAATCAGGTATTATTTATCAAAATTCATGGACGGATTTTAATTGGTCAAAATTCTTCTGATACTTTTAAACCTGATATTCATGCAAAACAAAAACCCCTGTTTTGCCTTCTTCTCCCCTTGTTCACATATTTAGGGGATGCCCACTCACTCTTCCTTTCGAAGTCTGCATAATTCACCAAGTGCCTTATTAATTGCATAGAGTGAGGCATAGAGTGGATAAAAGTGGAGATTTATTAATTGCATAGAGTGACTTATCTCACTAATATCGACTATTGAGCATTTATAGGTTCATTCTTGTTGTACAATTGGTATCAAGTTTGAAAAGAAAAGGAGATTTTCTAACAAGTATCTTCCCGATAATCATCTGATTTCACAAATTATTCTTTTTTTGGGTATTACATTATACACAGTTGAATTTGAATTAAGGGATGGAGACAAAGTAGGGTGCACTGATAAGCTTGGAATTATCCAAAGTTATGGAAAAATATATAAACATTCATAGAAGGAAATGTAAATAATATGGTTTCTAAAACTCTGGGATAAAATTATATTATTTTTTGATATTTTTTTGTAGTGCAAATGACTATTATTGTACAAATATGCTTATTTTAACAGATTATGGATTTGCTTAGCATTCCTACTTGTATTTTGAGAAATTTGGGCAAGAGATAGCTAATTGACAAGGGTGAAGTGAAGAACAATGGGGGAGAGAGGGTTTATTATTTTCTTGACTCTTTCTGTTTTCACTCTCCTTTATTTGACTCATTCTTTTTTCACTCTCAGGTATCAAAAGGTTGAAAAAATTAGAGGTCCTTGACATATCTGGTAACAATTTCAACACAACAATTCTTCAGTATATTGGTCTTCTTGCACCCAAAATTAAATCATTGCATCTCCAAGACAATGATATGAGTGGACCAATTACTAATAAAGGTATGTATGCATAGATTTTAAATAATAGTATAGTTGATTGCCGAGTATATAATACATTTAGTTTCAATTTGAATTTCCATTAAATAATATATTCACCACCAATGATTTCTTCTGGTTTAACATCCTTTCATTTTCTTTTGTATAGAACTTGGTACTTTGAGTGATTTGGAGTTCCTAGACTTGTCTGATGCTTCACTCAGCTATGACTTTCTCCAGAATATAGGGGAAATGGTTTCTCTTAAGTTGTTAGTAATGGCTGGGATTCAAGGACTCAATGGAATTCGATTACCATTTAAAGGTGTGACTTATTGGGGTATTTGATGTGCATGGTGCAACAACATATATGACATGTGTATTGACTTGACCCTATAATTAATTGGAAACTTTTATTATTCTCACCATTGCTTTGACACATTTCCATCACAAGGGGGTGATTAATTTGATAATTAAAACAATCTTGGAAAAACAATGGTGAGAGTACTTCATTAATTATAATTCTACTTTATGACAGAAAACTATATATATGCATGTAGATGTTATAGAACAAAACTATAACTGCCATTTTTTTCTAGTATTTGCTTCTTGGACCATTCCCACTCTTCTTTTAAATCCATGCAACTTTCACTCTCCATGGAAAGTGGTTGTCATATGAAATTTAATTAATTACATGTGTACATTTGTTTAATTTGCAGGGTTGTGCAAATTAAATAACCTTCAGGAGTTGGATCTCAATCTGCAGGAGGATAATTCTTACAATAATTATGGCGTCGTGGGTGATGTTCATTCATGTTCGGGAAACATGACAAGCCTTCGGGTGTTGGATTTGTCTTACAACCAATTTGATGAAAACATTGTCCAATCCATCATTCGTGGTCTCACTTCGCTTAAGTATCTTGATCTTTCAAACATCCGCTTTCAAGGTTCCTTTTCATTTAATTTGTTGGCTAATCTTTCCAAACTTGAGGTATTTCTATTTGAAAATAACCAGCTTCTTCAAGTGGAAACTGACTTCCCAGCTGTGGTTCCAACCTATCAATTGAAAACCTTGTATCTGGCAAGATTCACATGCAACAATGCACCTGGTCTAATGCCAAACTTCCTCCACTACCAATTTGATTTAAGGGTGGTCGACCTCTCTCACAGCAACTTTAACAATTCTCAGTTCCCCACTTGGTTGCTTGAGAACAATACAGGATTGGAAGTATTGAGTTTAATAAATAACTCTTTTACAGCCACTTTTGTTCTACCATCTCGTCCCCATATGAATTTGTCTATTTTAATTGTTTCCCATAATCATTTTCATGGTCAGATCCCAGATAATATTGGAGTTATCTTTCCTAACTTGGTAATTTTGAAAATGCCAAAAAATTCTTTTACTGGAAAAATTCCTTCTTCCATTGGAAACATGAGGTGGCTAAAACTTTTTGATCTTTCTGACAATTCATTATCGGGACAAATTCCAAATCACCTGGTCATAGGATGTTTAAGGTTATGTTGCCTCAAATTGTCAAATAACAATTTGGACGGTCAAATGCTTCCAACAGTTGCTAACTTGACCACCTTGAAGTACTTATTTTTGGATGGAAATAAATTTACAGGAAACATTCCATACAGTTTGTCTAAAAGCTTTGCTTTGGAATTATTGAATGTAAGTTATAACAACATCACTGGTAGGCTTCCAGGATGGTTTGGGAACTTATCATACTTAGAGGTACTTATAATGGCAAACAACCATCTTGAAGGATCACTGCCAATCAGCTTTTGTTCACTTGGAGGACTTGCTTTTGTAGATCTTTCCAAGAACAATCTTAGTGGCTCCATATTATCTTGCTTCAGCCCAGGGGGATTGAGATATGCACATTTTCAGAAGAATAAGTTCCAAGGACCAATGACAGAAGCTTTTTCTAAAAGCACAAACTTGGTGACATTGGACATAAGTGATAATTTGTTAAATGGTAGTATACCAAGATGGATTGGTAATCTGTCATCATTAGGAGCTCTATTATTGAAAGGAAATCAACTGGAAGGCCACATTCCCATCCAACTATGCTATTTAGACAAGATAAGTGTAATGGATCTTTCTCATAATAATCTTTCTGGTCCTATACCTTGTTGCTTGAAGAACATGACATTTGAAAGGGTAGAAGATCCGTTTGATGCATCTATTAGATTTAATGTAATTAGATATGGAAAGGGTTTTATTAGAAATTTATTTTGCTTACCATATAAATACCAGAGTAGGCTTAAAGAATTCCAACCCAATCAACAGCATTATGGCGTTTATGAAAGCAACATGGAACAAGTGGAGTTCACCACAAAAAACAGGTATGATGTTTACAAGGGCATCGTTCTCGGACTCATGTTGGGACTTGATCTCTCATGTAACCAATTAACGGGTGACATTCCACCTGAAATTGGAGAGTTATATGGGATCCGTGCATTAAACCTGTCCCACAACCACCTAACTGGACACATCCCAACAACTATTTCAAATTTGAAGCAACTGGAGAGCTTGGACCTTTCCTGCAACAATTTGGTTGGGAGCGTTCCCCCACAAATGATGGATCTATACTTTTTGTCGACTTTCATGGTGGCACACAATAACCTATCAGGAAAGATTCCAGAGAGGAAAGGGCAGTTCATAACATTTGGGGAAAGCAGCTATGAGGGAAACCCTCTACTTTGTGGAGAGCCATTAGAGAAAAGCTGCACCGGTAAGACTAGGGCACCATCACCAGCAGGTCCAACTTCTAATGATCAGGAAGGAGGCAATAACTCTGTTGACATGGACACCTTCATTGTGAGCTTTGTAGCGTCTTATATCACAGTGCTCTTGGGTATGGTCGTAGTATTCTACATAAACCCCTATTGGCGATTTCTATGGTTTCATCACATTGATGTTTGCATCACCTCGTATTACTACTTCCTTGTGGACAATATCTGTAAGTTACCAATGCTCTAAATCTTTGGACAATAGTCTTGTATTTTCTTTATGTAAAGTTCATATTATGCTTTAATTTTGATAGATTTCATTAGCTTAGATAAGATAATTTAATCATAGTTCTATGCTACTTTATGTCTTTATCTATTGATCAATATGAATCTGAAGGTCAATTTTAAACAGTCGAAATCAATTTAGGCTATGTTTGGGTAAACTTTTTCTTTTGTGTTTTTTGAGTGTACAAAAACACAAAGTATGTAATATGCTTTTTGTAGTTTTTGGTAATTATATATTGTTATCAAAACATGCATGTTTATGAGATTAACAACATAAATAAGTATTTGGCTACACTTTGTTGTTTTATCACGTATGACATGATAAATTCTATGCGTCAATTTGTTATTTATTGAAATTTATAATATGAAAATGTCATATGACCCATAATTATGCTGTGGTACAAATTAATACCATGTGGCATATATTTTGACAACATATGTGGACTTCAAATTTGGCGGGTAAATTATATTGCCATGTATTTGACACATGGCTTATATTTTTCCATATTTACAAATTTGACACCTGACGTATTTTATGGCATAAGGCATGCTATATATGATATATTTATGGGCATTACCACATAAATCTTTCCATATGATATTTTGTCATATTCACAAATTTGTTCTGTGGCATATATTTATAGGCATCATGGCATATTTCTTGCCATATGTCAAAAATTTCACCACATGGCATATATTTTGTCATATTCACAAATTTGTCATGCATGTGACAAATATTTATGGGTCATGACCCATAGTTGTGCCATGAGTCACATATTTTCCCATGTGGCATATATGCATTTACACCTTGTTCTTTTTTTTTTGTTCGTACGAAATAATAAATTATTACTTTATGCTTTTTTTACTTTGGGTGTTTTTGCTTTGAAACCACATGATACCATACTCCAAAGCATTCTTTTTGCTGTCAAAACACAAAAGTGTTTTGAAAAAACATAACCATAATTTTTGTACTATTACTTCATGTGTTTTATTGGCAAGAAACATGGGTCATTTCAACTTAGGTTCAGATTGACTGCACGTTCAAACCTTTTGTAGTTATTGAATTTTAAGTTCAGATTTTTATACTACGGTAGCGTTTGATATATCTGAAGTCTAATGTTTAAAAAGTTAAAAAGCTATTATTCAGGTGTAAAATCTGAAAAGGCGTAGAAATGATTTTATTTACTTTTAGAGCCTCTATAAAAAGATAAGATCTTTTGAGTCGAAGCAATTCTCCAAACAAATAATATCTTTTGTTTGATAATGTTATAAATAATAAAAATTGTAGTTGGTGTGGGGAATTGTAGGTAAGACCAGGTTAGACCCTAGCATTTGTTTGTTATATGTTTCATTTGAAATGTGGTTACACAACGATTAATAGAATACAATCACCGATTTCTACCAATTTTTGGCAACCACTTCTACAAATTGACAAAGAGACGGGGAAAATAATTTAAATAAAAAATAATAAAAACAATTTCAGTATGAAAGAAAACATTAGCTTATCTATATCATTAATGCCAAATTTACTCAACTTCCCATCTTGATCAAGAGTACAAAGCTATCTCTCTAGCAACTTTCATAACTTATATGGTTATGATTCCAGAAGTTTGAAACAACAGAAAATGAATCAAACATAGTAGCAATATTCTCCATTCCTGCTAAAACAGAGACCTTAATTCTAAATTGTGTTGTATTGGATCACACTAGCTTCCATCATCAGGTACCTTAAGCCCTAGCACTAACTAGTACTTTAAACACTAGCATGACACTAGATCCACCAGAAAGAGAAAGACCTGCACACAAATTCCTGATGTCCTTTCCAAAAAAAAGAATATCTTGATGAGCAGAATCAATTTTTAAAACTTCAGCAATTAAGGTTATAACCCATACGCACCATTTCTTGAGTCTAAGAAAAGGAGCTCAGATCTCCTACCCACGTACGCCTGCCCACGACTCATTATAACCTTACCCAATGCTGTTAGAACGGTGTGGGCATGGATTTGCCCTGACTGAAGCCGGTCTCTCCCTTGACAATCTGTTAAACGGTTATCTTATGTTGCTAAAATCTTTTGAAGTCCCAATTTTGCCCCTTGATGATGGTACGATTCTTTGGCCATTAACGATCTAAAATCTTGAAAATAAAGAACATAGAGACGGTTCATCTATTCCTTAAAACTTAAAGATTTTGATCCTGTTTGATTTTTTTTTCTTGTTAACTGACTTAGTTTGCTATCAATAATCGAAAGATGGATTTCATTTTTACCCTTGTCCGATGACCACTTGTTTGTATTCTGGTTTCTAACTTCGCCCCACTCTGCTCCATCAATTCATATATTAGAGAAACAGGGGAGTTGTTACATCAGATCCACTTGATTCATTGAACATCAATTATTCATGGATTAAATAATTAAGTATATTAGAAATAAGAAGTTACTAAGAAGTTCCTTGGGAATGACCTTCTTCAAAATGATTAGTGGGGGTGGAAGAGTATTCTCCAAGGTAATGAGATCCTGTTCAAATGCATTTGCTAGGCAATTAACAAAGGTTCCAATATCTCAATCTGGTATGACCCATGGATCGCATTAGTTGATATGTTTTAAAATTATTGTGGACGATCCACAAGATATGGGCCAAAGTTTGTTAAGGGTCTTACCGATGATTTGACTCGAACTCGTTCTTGGATTGTGGACCTTGTTAAATCCAATTTCACTGAAGCCTATGCCTCAAGCTAACCAGAGGAGAATGGGAAGATAAGCTCTTCTGGATGCCAGACTCTCTTTTCGTCAAAACCAGTAACTCCAAAAAGTTGAAATTTTCATTTGGAAATTAATTTTGTATATATGAATGCAATCACATTAAACAAGAATTTGGTTTGAAAAGGAGTAGCGCCCAATTTGCGATTATCCATTTGAATCCATCAGCCAACATATTCTGATTGATTGTGATGCTAGAAGCTGCTGGATTGCAAGCTTTATTGGCCCTCGTTTTAGACAGGATGTTTCATCTAATCCATTTAATTAGTCTATAGTTTGCTAACTGGATTGATCGTTGCTGCTTTTTATCTTTCTTCCAATGCTATGGATTTGATTGTTTTTTAGGCTGTGTTTGGTTGCAATGCAAAAAATTTGCACTAACACAAAACTATGGCAATGCAAATGATTTGAATGTGAATTCTTACTTATTTTTATTTCAAATTTTAGCTTATTTTATTTGATTGTAGTACAAATGAAATAAATTAAGACATGAAGCAAAACAAAATAAAACCCAAAACAAAATTAATTTAACGAGAATTTGTATTTTTTTTTATTTGTACTCCCATGCATCTATAATAATGCAAATAAAGTTGCATTGTAACCAAACACAGCCTTATGATTATTTGATGTGGAATATTTGAAAGTCTCGTAATAATTTGGGGGATGTTTGGAATCGTGGCTGTTTTTCAAAAAAACGGTGCCACGTCGGATCCATATAATTGTTTAACAAACACTCATGTATCTCATTGTTTGGTTCAACCGATTATTAAAAAATAGGACATGCTTCAAAAATTGGGATCCCACCGATGCATTTGGCGTTTCATGCATTGGTGAACCGTTTTCCCCAATGGTTGATTGATGTGTATCCTATGTGGTGCTTACCTGTTAGCATATACATGAAAAACGGTGATGAAAATCACCTTACCAAACAGCATATATAATGTTGCTTACTGCCTATGTGGCAGAAACATTTTTTTATAAAAAACGAGTCTTAAAAGCATGAATGTTTTTTCTTGAAAATTGATTCCAAAATAAATCCATGTTTCCAAACACCATGTTAGTATTTGAGTCCTCTAAGTTGCAGCCTTAAGTGATTATTTCTTTTTCACGCAGGCTGGCGATGGAGAAAAAAGCGACTTGCTACCAACCTCATCAGGAGGCGCATCGCTGGATGGTGAGACAGGACGGGCAACTCTCCCATCTAAATGCAACTGGAATAGAGGATTTAGTGGAGTAAGATAAAACTAGTTTTGGAGCCTTAATCTGTAATCACAATAGAACATGCTTTGCTGCAAGCTATGGCCCTCTTTCCACTTCATTGGGTGTTCATCAAGTCACAGTATTAGCAATGGGCAATAGGATAAGACCTCATTCCAGCTGCGAGGTGTGACACTAATCAAAAAGTTATCAAAATCTGATTGCAAGTTGCTGTAATTTTTTGTGAAAGGAGGTGAGTAGCAGCCATGAAAGTGCATTATTATTAAGGACATTATCTTGTTTTGATATGACGTTCGACTATGATGCCAGAATATTATGATATATACGTGTATATATATATATATATATATATATACACGATAGGCATAATAAAAGTGATAATGAATGAGGTGGGTTTTCATCAGAATTCACAGGGGGTTTGATTGGTCATCACCTTTCCGATATCTCTTTCTTTTCCTACAGGTACAATGCTTAACAAATCTAGTTTGGAAGGAGTGCAAATACAATTATATAAAATGCAAAACCGTGCATTTAGTATTATTTTGTATATATATATTTACACTATACATACTTATATTTGTACTGCTTTCAAACTGAGTCAAAAGAAAAAAAAAATCAAAAATGATCCTCAACCTTGATCCAAATTATCTATATGTGACCAGTAACATGAATATGTCCCGCCACCATGCTCTATCCAGAAGTTTTATTACTTGCTATAGTACAAGGATCTCAATTCTATCAGAAAGGGTATTATTCATCTCATACGTGGTGGTAAGGCCGTTATTGTACGTTTGTCCAGTTATTCATGGTCTTGTAAGGGGTGGGTTTGTACGGACTTATAATTTGGCACTATGATTTTTAAAATTGGACTGGACCAGATTGTCAGATCGGAAAAATCGAGAACCGGTAAGTGATAGATTCTGTTTTTTCTCAAAATTAGATTTTTTCTAAAAATATTGATTTATTCAGCAAACCACTGATTCGGGTGATTGAACCGTTTGAACATTCAATGATTTTAACCATTTTTTATTTTTTATTTTACTTTTTTGTTAGAACGGACTAATTATTCAGTTTGAATGATCAGATTATTTGACCCGAGAACCAGACCCCTGACGGATTCGTTCTCCAAATCAGTTTTAAAAACCTTGTTTGGGCACTCTTAAGTCTTAACACAGAAAGTGGCCGGTCTCATAGCTTTGAAGGCTAATGACGTTCCTTTCCTTATCCTAGGTATGTTATAATCGCCATTAAAGTTGATTTGGTTACCTTGTATTAGTACAGGGATAAGCCTCCTCTATAAAATAGTACTCACCTATAGGTAAGAGGATGTTAGAAAAGGGAAAACATCATGACCGCTTGCCTGGAAGTGCATATATAGTTGCTTTAATTTTCTGGCCTTGGTGGGAATATTTCTTGATCAATTGAGAACTCGTCAAGTATATAGGTGCACATACGAAGTTTTGTGCAGGTGCTTCCTCAAGTAAATCCAACCCCTCTCTTTCTCCCCTTTTTTATATTGGTTCAACAATTCTGCATTAAATTTGTCTAACTTGCTTTTTTCTTTCTTCTTCTTCTCTCCCGCCACCCTTTCTTACAAGGCAATCTCCTTTAATGTCATTGTTTAAGTTGCAGGGGTCGTCGTGGTTTCGTCTTGATCTACTTCATTTGGTTGCACTTCTCTGGTCGTCTCCCTCTATCTCTTCCTTTAGTGAAGGTGGTGTGTGGCATTTTCCAGTGGGGTGGTGTCGGGTTAACTAGATGGTTGCACTTCGTTAGATGACAACGAACTTAGCTTTTCCTTTGTTTCTATTCATTTGTTCCTTTTTTTTTTATTTTCTTTCTTTCCTTCCTTCCTTCTTCTTCTTCTTCTTTTTCCATCTGGCCACCCTTTCTTACAGTTTTCAATTTTGTGTGTATTATTCATTGTTGTATTTGAATTTGTGGTGAGCTATTCAGTTCATTTTTTTACCCTTGTGCTCTTGATTTTGATACACATTTAGTGCAGTTGTTTTAAAAGGCGTGGGAGGCATATATCTGGAGGCGCACCTCTAGGCAAGGTAGCCCCAAAAAGCCCCGAGGCATTGACACCCCTGAGGTGTATGCTTCATACGCTTCTTTCATGAGGCATTCTATAAGCGTACACCTCATGCGCTTCATGCACACCTCATGTTAAAAGATTAAAAAAACAAAGAGAAAATGAAAAAACAGAAAGGAACTTGGGGTGGGACTAAGCCCCCGAACCCCTTCGGCTGGGGGGGCTTCACCCCAGCCCCCCTTTTAACTGATGATATGCATCTTCATTCTCTTGAATATAAAAGGCTTTTATTGAAAATAAAGAAAAATGATATCCTTCCTCTTCTTCCTCATCCTTCCTCCTCATTCCCCCTCCTCTTAAGTAGACTTGTGCTTGCTTGTGTTCAAGAGGTTTATGTCTCTTATGTTTTGAACTACACCTCACGCCTCTGTGTTTTAAAACATTGATTTAGTGTTGCATATGATGGTTTGAGATGAACATTTATTGGTAACTAAGAGTTTTTTAATGATTTTTTTGGTTTAGGCTATGCCATTAAGTCTATTGTATTTAGTGGATTTTAGAGATTAGACATTTGCCTTTTTTAATTTAATTGATTGTTTCATTTGTTACCAAAGCCCTGGGTAATCAACCCCATGTACTCATATTACAAAAGTCATGGGTAACCAGCCCCAAGCACTCATCTTACAACAACCCTGGGTAACCAGCTCAAGAACCTATCTTATAAAAGCCTTGGGTAACCAGCCCCAGGCACCTATCTTACAAAAGTCCTATGTAACCTGCCCAAGGAACTCATCTTACAAAAGCCCTTGGTAACTAACCCTAGGCTCTTATCTTACAAAAGCCCTAGGTAACTAGTCCCACCAGGCACTCATCTTACGAATGCCCTCGGTAACCAGCCCCTAGAAATTGTCCTAAAATGCCCAGGTTAACCAGTCCCAGGCACTTGTCTTATAAAGCCCTGGGTAACCATTCCCAAGTGCCCTAAAAGCCCTGGGTACCCAACCCTAGGCACTAACAGTGCATTTTATTTTTAAAACAAATGTTAACAAGACAGACCACAAAATTTGTCATAACTGGCATTTTGAAAATGACTTAATACTAATGCTCGACACTATAAATACACATTTTCGGACTAAGATATCACCAAAGCAAACCATGAGATCAATCATGATGAAAACTGCCGGACTGAATTCAGCAACTTATGTGCCATGACTAAATGGTACATATACTTACACCTAAAGTTGTGACTCGTGTTAACTTTGAAGGTGTGTTACACTTAATTCCCACGTTAATAGCAATAGAAAATGGTTTTGTTTATGGTCATCTCATTTTTATGTTATGAGCATGGCTATTGGACCACATGCATGTCTTTTTGAGGGAAAGGGATTCAAAGAGACATGTATACATCACTTAGGGTGCTTTGCTTTGGCAAGGTTGTTATGTCAAAGTTGGTAGAGTGCTCTCTACCTTTTCTTTCTATGTTTAATAAATCAAAGTGGGAGTTATCAATTAAAATTAAAACCCATGTCAGTGGAAATTAATTCCAATGATGAACAATTCTGGCTTCATTGAGGTGAACTCTAGTCTAAAGGTAATTATCTATTATTTCTTCAATTGATTCTTTTCTTAGTGCAAAACTACACCAAGCAATCCAACTTGAAAACCATGAGCCAACGGCCCAGTTTATCCAATTCAAAGCCTTGTTTGAGTTGGGTGCAGACCGCAACACAAGTCAACAAAGAAAGAATGATGATTTCATCACTCATGGAGATCATAAGTTGGGTACAGACTGCAACATAAACCGATGAATTATATGATGTTGAAAACTCTAGTTGAGAGTGAGAGGCGGTCACTCTTATAATTTTATTAATCGTGTTCATTAATAATAATAATAATAATAATTATTGTTATTATAATTTAAAATTTTCATGTACAAATGTACATACATTTTTACAATAAGTATATAAGTTCATTTTTAATCATATTGTTATTTTTGTTAATTTTCAATTTATATATTAACTATGATTTATTTAAAATTCAAGTAATTAAGATGAAGAAAAATTTCTCACATACAATCCATCTACTTAATTACTAGTAAGACAAAAAATACAAATAAAAATGCAAATCAAAACTCTAAACAAGTGAAAGAAAAACAGAACTGGATGCAAAATTTGTATTCAGTTCAAATTTGTATGGCAAACAAACAAAGCCTAAAATGAAATTGACAAAAATAAAAACACCAAAAAAATTCACAGATGATTAAAAAGCTACACCTGCAAATGTCTTTACTTGTCATTTGGACTTGATATCCACATCAATTTTTTTTTTTTCTGGTAGTTATTGGATTAATCTTTGATATAAATCTGAATACTGAGTAATCTTAATTTAAAGGCAATCTCTATTATACGAAAGTATGGTATCTAAAATAGTTTAACTAATTAGAACCCATTAGAACCCCTTCGTGAATTTGACTAAAATACCAGTTGATTGATTGTTTATTTGTTAAGCGCCATACCTATGCCGTACCATAATAGCTCTTCGCTATAAAAGTATTTCACATTAACTATTTAACAAACAAATTAATAAGCAGTCATTTAATCATCCTAGATTACTTTTAAGTTGAACTCATTAATTAGTAGAATATTTGTTTGGATTTCTATATATTTTGATATACATTGGATAATTTAATTTTGAGAAAATATATTGATAAAAATATTTAATTCATTTTATATGAAGGAAAATAAGATGGGTCAATGTAGAATTTTGATTTGTTTTCTACAATTACTATGGCGTTACAATCTATTTGCAGTTGATTTTTTTTTCTTTTTTTTTTTTGAAATAGAAGTGGAGGGTGATAATGAAATTCTTGTTCAAAACTTCAAATTATCAAAGAAACTGTCTTTCATCATCGGATAGTGGCTTACTCTTACAAAAGAATTAATCATATCGATCCTTGCGAATGCCGGTATTGATGCTAGATGCCATATGTACCATTTCAAATATCTTCCGACTAATCTTTAAAAGCTCATGCTTGAAGTTTATATTAATATTTCCTTTGTTGCATATTGACTAATTGAGTTGTAATGTGGTTTATTCATTTATTTTGAGTGGGTTAAAGTGTGATCTTTTTGTTTTGGGCTTGGGGCAAGGTGGGCTATGTCCTCCCTTTATAATGGTTAATAAAATCTGTAGATAGCTGCCCCTCGAGATTTTTACAGTAGCTAGGATTTTTAGAAGTGGACTGAATCTTGTATGTGAATTGATGCCAAATTCAAAAACAGGATAGATTATATGGGGGAGGGGCCACTAATAGACTAGGAGGAGAGTGCAATTCAGATTTCTGAGGTGGATTGCAGTCCACTTTTCCCAATAAACTTTGGGGTCTAAAAGTGTTGATAGTCAAAACATGAAGGAGATTTAAAATACAACGCTAATTTATTAATTGATACAAATATGAATAATTAGAGTACAGGAAAAAAATTAGTCATATGTAAAGTGAAGAATGATAACAAAATTTGGTGATTTTAGTTGGTGCGCCTTTATGTTATTGCTATCGGCTTAATTTATGAGACTGACTTTTATATAACGTGTGAAAGGATATAGATGGCTTCAAAAAAGAAAGGATGTAGATGGCTATTTCTATTTTTTTTTTTTTTTTTTTTGGTGTGTGTTTAAAATTTACAATATTTATGTTCTAATGCATGAGTATTTGGTGCAGGTTTGGAACCTTTAGGTACATTGAGGAAGCTGAGGTCCTCCATTTGAGTGGTAATGGCTTCAATAACAGCATCCTGCCTTCTTTGGGTGCTCTCAAATCCCTCAAGAATCTGTCTCTTAGTGTAAACTCTTTCACAAACCCCTTTCCCTATGAAGGTATATATGTTCGATATATTTTAGTCCCATTCTCAATAAAATCCCTATGGTTTATGATTGTCAGACTTTTAATTTCTTAATAACTTTACACTCATTAATTTTGTCATATATATCTGAAAATTTAATTAATAATTTGTAGAACTAGCGGATTCGAAAAACTTGCAATTAAATGTTGGATTTGAGTCACAATGGGTTATACGGCACTTCAGGACTTGGATTAATTGCTGGGGATGCATTCACAAACCCCTTTCCTTTTGAAGGTAATATATGTTGAAATTCTTAATTTTACTCTCAATTAATTCCCTTTGGGCTATGTTCAGGCTTTCTCTTAATTTTTTTAATTACTTTATTTTCATTAATTTTGTCATATATATATTGAATTTTAATTTATACAATATTAATTTGTAGAATTAGTGGGTTGGAGAAGTTGCAAATATTGGATTTGAGTGAAAATGAATTAAACGACATTATCGGACTCCAAAGTAAGCCTAGATAACTTATGTTGCTAACTGCATTATATCACCAAGCAAAAGAAGAAGCAACATAATTCAACTTTTTCTTTTTTTCTTTTTATAAAGGGAAAATTCCTATAGTATTTTGTACTTTTTGGTTGTTGAACTTTAAAATGCCACAATTCAATATTTGAACTTTCAAAGCATGCTAATCCAGTATCTGTCATTAATCAATCGTTAAGTAACATTTGAAAAGACACAAACGTATAAAAAATGAAATCCCAAATCCTTTTCTCTTCTATTCAAGAAAGTTGGGATTGTGTCTCAATGAACATTTTGATGACCCCAAAATTCTTGAGTAAAAGAGGTAAGGATTTGGGGCTATTCTTTTTTGTCAACAATAAATGTTAAATTAACACATTTTGAAAATTCAAGTACTAAATTATTATGTTTAATTTTAAAATTCAGGACCACAATGACACTAAACCCAAAATACACGTATTAATCTAATGAAGCATCACGATTAAGATGATGAACTCATTGCATCAAACTCAAAAGATTTGTGATCAATAGCGCCTACAGGCACTAATATTTGGAATGGAGTGGTCCAGTGGAGTGGAAGAAATAGCACAAATATCTCGATCCCCTTTTTTTCTCATTTACCGTCTTGCTCCACTATAGTGCATCATCGATCAAGTATTATATATATCATCCCTGATAAGTCACATATAGGTTGCATGGGAATTCTGCTATTCTATTGTTGTATTTTGTTTCACAAGTGTTAAGTCTCTACAACATCTTTCCATTTCACTTTTAATAATTAATACTTGAACAATAATTCTTGGAGGCTTTAAACACATGGATGTAAATTGAGTCCCTGAGCTTTGACTATTTCTGCGGAGGGCGCAGGGATGTAAATCGATCTAACTATTCTAATCTGCATCCATTTATTTTTTCTTTTTTTTGAGGAATGCAAGAAAAAAATAAGTATTCACAGGATAAAGAAAAGAAGCTAGAGATCATGGGTGCCTTCAAGGCTTCAACAATTAAATTGGACTCTGGGACAGCTCAATCCAAAAAACTCAGGCAGCAAAAATATTAATTTACACCATTCAATTCACATACTTGGACAAAACGTGAGCTTCCCCAAAGAGGGTAAAACTTAAATTTCCAAACGAGACCACCAATCATGGTTTTCAAAACTTAACCGGTGACCGAACCAATCAAGGGTCCTATTATCGGTTTCAATGATCCAACTGTTCTGACAAAAAAATAAAAAAATTAAAAAAAAAAAATTGAAAAATGGTTAAAACCGTTTGAACGGTTCAAACGGTTAAATAGTTAATCAATCGGTTCAGCGGTTTGTTGACCAAAATCAACAGTTTTGAGAGAAAATAGAATCGATTTTTTCAGTCCGGTCCGGTTTTGAAAAACATGCCACCAACCCTTTCACGGCCAAGGGGTGAGTGCCCAAAAAGGCAAAAAGCAAGGAAACGCTAAAGAAGAGTTTTAGATTGAACCGCCAAGCCCTGGATCGCACTTCCAAAAGAACCCTGCAAATAGCTTCCAATTCATGCACAAGGATATCCCCGCCAGAGAATAGCTGCCGCAAACCCCAAACAGGAGAACCAAACTGATCTCGAGGGATGAAGCCGATATCATACTACCCCAGTTTGGACCTAAGGTTGTGCTTGGTTGCAGTGCAATTTTATTTGTATTAGTAGAAATATTTAAAATGCAAATTCTTGTTTAATTTTATTTTGGATTTTACTTTATTTTACTTCATGTCTTAATTTACTTCATTTGTATTGCAATCAAACAAAATAAGCTAAAATTTGAAACAAAAGTAAATAAGAATTTACACTCAAACCATTTGCACTGCCATGGTTTTGCATCAGTGTAGATTTATTTGCATTGCAACCAAACACAATTTAAGGCTCAATTTGAAATGAATATAATCTCAGTTTGGAAGGAATATAAATACAAATACGTAGAGTGCAAAACCTTGTATTTTGTATTATTTTCTATCTATTTGTACTGTACATATTTGTATTTGTACTCCTTTCAAATAGAGTCATAATACAAATACATATATAATAATATAAAAAACAAGGTTTTGCACTCTATATATTTGTGTTTGTACTCCTTTCCAACTGAGCCCTCAATTTTAAAGGAGTGTAAATACAAATATATAGATGTAGTGTAAAACCCTATATTTTTTATGTATTTGTACTTTTTCCAGATTGAGCCTAGTATAAATACAAATATTTACACTACAAAGCCTTGTATTTTATATTTTTAAACCAGTACTTGCATTATATGTATTTGTATTTACACTCTTTCCAAAAATCTCAGTTTGGGAAGAGTGCAAATGCCAATATGTGCAGTGCAAAACCTTGCATAAGGTATTACCCTAAACACCAGGAAGCATGACATTGGACAAAATTGATAGGAAGAACATTCCATCTGATAGAATTCCATTCCGATCTATATATATATATAAACAAATGTCTTAAATTTTAATGAGATCAGAAATTAATTAAGACATTTGTTTATATATAATATATATATTAAAATTTAAGACATTTTATATATATATATATATATAATATATATTATATATATAGATAGATAGATAGATTGTGTGTTCAACTCATAGATATACACAAGGTGTCCAAAAATTGTTTGGTTGATTGAGTACATCAAGCTTAGGAATGGCAATGGGGTGGGGATCATATTCCCTGTCCCCCACCCCCAATTGTAAAATCAATCCCATCTCCGTCCCCGAGCCCTATCGAGGATAAAATTTGTCCTCCATCCCCGATCCCTAACAGGGATGGGTTCCTCGTAGGGACCCGAATCCTCGAATTTTTTTTAAAGAATAGTATTTTTCTGAAAAAATAAATTTATTTAAAATAAATAAAAATTTTAAATTATAAATAATATTTTAAATATGTTTTGATATATAAATAACATTTATATATATAGAGATATATAATCGGGGTTGGGGTGGGGGTGGGGACCTCAATCTCTATCCCCAACCTCGACCCTGACCCTGATTGAGGATTCCTATTAATCCCTGTTCCCGTTTCCGCCTCATCAAAACAATCCTCATCCCCGATCCCATTGGGTCGAGGAAATTGGATCCCATCGGGGATAGGGAAAATTGTCAGCCATTTTAAAAAAGGCATAGAAAAGTAATACTAATGTTATGTATATCTATGCAGGCTTGGAACCATTAGATAGATTGAAGAAGCTAGTGGTCTTAGATTTGAGTTTGAATTCCTTCAACAACAGCATCCTACATTCTTTGGGTGCCCTCAAATCCCTCAAGTATTTGTCTCTTCATTCAAACTATTTCACAAGCCCCTTTTCTTTTGAAGGTATGTTGAAATTCTAATTTTCCTCTCAATTAGATCCCTATAACTACAGGGTTATGGTCAATCTCTCTCTTAATTTCTTAATTACTTTCCTTAAGTTTGTCATATGTATCTGATAATTTAATTAATACAAAATTAATATGTAGAACTAGCGGGTCTGGAGAACTTGCAAAGGTCGGATTTGAGTTACAATGGAATTGACGACGTTCTTAGACTCCAAGGTAAGCCCAATTAGATTTTAATATACATAAAACTACAAGAGCAAGCAGGTGGGGAAGAAAGGAAATGCTTTATACCAATATATATGGGGAGCTCACATCTTGTGAACGCTTGGGTTCATGGGAAGCGTGTACCATCTAATGTGAGACGAATACAGAATACGTCCTCCCATCTGTCTTAAGAACAGCTTAACACAGGTTTTCTCTATTAACGAAGGTTCGGCAGATTTAACTGGCCACTAACAGACAAAAGAACACCCCAAACTCCATTTTCAGCTTGCAAAGCACGATTTCCCCTTCCCCTTTACATTCAAGCTCTTCCCCAGTTCTCCTACCCTCTGTCATCAGTTTGAATTGGATGGTGTGTTTGATCCCAATTGGAGGATACACACACTCTGATATTTGATTTCCATATGGAAAGGAATTGTCTTAATGGATATTAATTTGTATTCTGTTCTATGGGTCATGCGTGTTCTTACATTGTTACTTTTCGTAATGAGGAATTTGTATCGATACAACGGGTAAGGCAATGCTTGATTACATCATTTTTGACCATAATGCTTGTTCATCTATAATTCTATCTCTTTTGCAGGCTTTAAACACTCATTGGATATGTTGAATAACCTAAAAGTCCTCGACTTGAGCTATAATTCCTTTAGCACAAGTATTATTTCATACTTGGGAGCCCTCAAATCCCTCAAAACACTCAGTTCCTGCCAAAGGTATATACGTCGTAGGACTCATGTTCATTTTCTTCTCATCATAAGATATTTCTCTCAACAAATCAACAGTCAACAACACCCCGTGTAAAGTTTGGAATCACTAAATGTTGATGGTTTGTAGTATTTGAGTGGGAATGCATTCAACGACACTCCACAAATAATCCAAGGTATATCCTGTTGAGTCCCGATATTAAGTAATTTTATGTTATTTTTTTTCTATGAGAACCAAAGGCAAATAAGTGATATATAGTTGAAGATTTTGAATGTTCCACCCGAAGAGAAGGCCTCAAAGCCCTTTTTTCCCCTTAACTTGATCAAGATTCAGACAAAACAAAATGAGAACCCTTGCTTTCCCTACCTCTTGTTACTCACATGTCCAGGGGATGCCGACTTTCTCTTGCAAAGTCTCTATAATCACCAATTGCCTTTGACAAATTTAAAACAGCTTGGTAAAGTGAAGCAATACTATGAAAAGTTCCAAATTTGAAGTGGATAAAAGTGGAGAATTATTTCTTGCATTGAGTGGATTATCACACGGGGCATTGACTATTGAGCCAATAGTCACAAGGCTAGCAAGAAGTAGCAATTGCAATTGGATAGGTTTGGCTTGAACTTCAACCCAATTCATTTGACCCGTTAACCCGTTAATCACTCATTTAAATAAAATTAAATGAGTTGGGTTCAACCAAATTCATCTTGACCCAATCCAACCCATTAACATTATAACAACCTCGTTTATGGTACTTAAAACTAAAAACCAACTCCCTTCTAACAAATAGGTTGGTCATGTCCTAATGGTGATAATAGTTGTTGTTTATATAAGTGGTGAAGGTTCAAATCATATTTTATGTATATTATTTTTATAAGGAGAATAAAAATCAATTAATCACTTGGGTACATTTGACTATGTTCAAGTTTTGGGTTTAGTCGAACTATTTGGATTTAAATTGGTTAGACCAACTTGAACCATCTAACTAGGTTCATATTCAAGCTAATTACTTCAAGAGTGGTCAAACCGTTTGGATTCGAACTGAACCGATCGACCCAAACCGGATCTAAGTTGATTGTGTTCATTCAAATTCGAATCAAGTTGGTTTGAGCCGGACTGGTCCAAATTGGGTCAAACATGGGTTCATATTTGGGATCGAGCTAACCGACCTAAACCGGATTGAGATGGGCCGACCATGCCATCCAGAACCAGCCAACCCAAACTGGGTCGAATTAAGTTAATCGTGTCCATTCAGTTTCGAATTGGGTTGGTTTAGGTCAGACCGGTCCAAATCATGTTAGGATGGGTTCATGTCTGCAACTGGGCTGACCGACCCAAACCAGTTTGAGATGGTCTGACCATGCCATCTAGACCCGAGCCAAGTTGGTCTGGACCAAACTGGCCTGAATTCAGTTGGGCCTGAACCGGATTGAATTGAGTCGATTGTGCCCATTAGATCCAAATCAAGTTGGTTTGAGTTTAACCAATCCAAATCAAGTTGGGCATGGCTTGATATTTGTAATCGGGTTTCCCAACCCAAACAAGATCAAGATAGGCCGAGCATACCATCCAAATTTAGATAAGTTGGTGTAGCCCAAACCAGCCCATATCAGGTTAATAAAGATGTCTCTAGAGTTGTTGGATCTGGCCAACCCAAATTGGGTTGGTCTTGATTACTAGATTGTTTGGGTAGATTCAGGTTGGGTACAGTTGGGCCATTTACGTTAGAATCGAATCACATCAAATTGGGCCACTAAACAAATTGATTGGGCCATTTGATTGAATTAGAATTCATATCAGATTTGAGTGAACTGTGTTGACTCAAAACAATAATTTCAGTAAATGATTATCTAAAAAATTAATGCATTAATTATAAATAGTCTCATTCAAATAAAGAAAATTAAAAAAAAAATAACTAGGAAATTCATACTTGTATCATACTATTATTAATGATATTTACAACCCAACCCAACCGAACCCGGAATGAATAACTCATAATAGGTGGATTGGATGGGTTCAATAAATTGGATAAAAAATTGCCACCCCTAACACCAAGGTGGTGCAATTCTAAAATTCAACCGGGCTCGTTGTATAAGTTTGGATGATTTCATCAGTTATATGTGTATCATATTCATTTCATTGACATGTATATCAATAGAAACATTTTATATGATGGGGGTGGGGTGGGGGCAGCCGTCCCCCAAAATACCATCGCCCCCTCCCCACATTAGGGCTATTTAATAATGGCTAGTTTCGCTGAATGAGATAATGTCTTTTATTAGATAAGTGATTAAATAGGTTCTGGGCATCTTAATATAATGGCTAAATGATATGTTAGGATTGACTACAGTATCCCAAGCATTCTAATCAAGTAATTTTATCCATGGTGGACAAGGCAATAACTCATTCAATTCAACCACCACAAATGCCATTAGATGGCCGCTTAATTAGCTCTCTACACTAAGTAATACGCCAAGATTGCAACTAACCTCAACCCAAGTATCACACCACTATTTTTAGTGATCGAAATGTAAGATTAGACTCCTTGTGGTTAAGGGTGGATTTGAGTCGAGCCAAGTCGAATACTTAGTTATTCGAATTCAGTTCACCAAATCAGTGTTGGGTTTGAGATAAAGTAAGAGCTCAGTTTGAACTAGAGGCTTAAGCTTGAATTCAGCTCGGCTCAAAAGCTTGCAAGTTTGAGCTTGACTCGATTCGAGCTCGACTACAAGCCAAGCTTTCTATAAAAAATAAAAATTATTATTTCATTTTACATACAAAAAATCAAGAATTAATATATATATATATATATTAGGCTCGCGAGCCTCACAAGTTGAACTTAATTGACCTTGACTTGACACGATTAACAAACGAGCCTATATATCAAGTTCGAGATTAGCTCAAAACTCAATTTAAACTGAGCAAATCAAGCTTTTGACGAGCTGTCTACCCCTACTTGTGGCTATACTATTTCAACCTCTTAACTTTTTAGTTAAATTACCAACTTACCTCTCATCATTGACCGATTTTTTATACATTTATGGTAAGAAATGACTTTGGCCAAATCTTTCAATTAATTAATCAACTAGTTATTTAGATTAATAATAAAGTAAACAATTACTACTTACCAAATAATGAATTAATTTAATATTTCATGTCTTTTGATATTAAATAATTCAATATTTAAAAACTAATTAATTATTTTTATTTATTCATTTAATTATATAATAATGATTTAACTATTTATTTCCTTAATTTTCAATTGAATTTACTATTGTTTTTCTGTTAATACTTACATTTTAGAAATAATAACAAACCTCTAAAATGGGCCTTGATCCTATTTCATTGTTGAAAGTGTTCATAAAATGTTCCTTTCAATTCCAACTTGTATTTGGATATATTTTATTAGTAAAATATATATTTAGTTATTTTAACAATAATTAATTTATTCCAGTATTACATAGTTTCACCTAAAAGACCTTCACAAGTAAAACACTTTCACTTATTAATTGTTGATGATTTGGTTAACATTCCAACTTGTATTTTGAGAAATTCGAGCAAGAGACTGCAAACAAATACAACATTTTGTTTTCACTCACTTTTATTTGGCAAATTTTTTTTTCTCTCTCAGGTGTTTTGAGAAAGCTGGAGCTCCTTGACATATCATATAACAAATACAGCACATCAATTCCTCAGTATATTAGTCTTCTTGCACCTAATATTAAAACACTGTATCTCAAGCAAAATGATCTTAGTGGACCAATTACTGATCACGGTATATATTAACTGTTTCAATTAAATGTTAATAACCAATTGTATAATTAATTTCGTTCACTACCAATGATTTCTTGCTAATCCTTTTATCTTTTTCTTTTTTTTAGAGTTGGGCACTTTGAGTGATTTGGAGTTCCTAGACTTGTCCTATACTTCACTCCACAGCAATTTATTGGAGAATGTAGGAAGAATGACTTCTCTCAAGTTTTTATCGTTGGTTGGAATTTCTCAATCCAATGTTACTCGATTTACTCGACTACCATTTACGGGTACAACTTATTGAATCTGAGGTGTGCTTGGCCTATGACCCTGCAATTAATGAATTATGCATGCATACTCTATCTCATGCTCGGACTTTGGAGCATCTTTTTCCTCCATTAGATGCCCCATTGTAAGGGCATTGCTATCTTACGGGTGTCAATTGTACTGGATTTGGTCAAATCCGATCCACTTCAATGTGAGTTCATTATAAATGGATCAGGTCTAATCCAATCTAATGAATATTTTGGATTATTTTGAATCAGTCCAATTCAATATTTGGATCATTCAATTTGTTTAAATTCATTTTAATTTAGATTAATTTCAACTCAAACCTAATCTATTAACACATACATTCTTATCTTATATCAATGGACAAGGTATTGGCTTAATCCAACCCAATCCAATATAAATTTATTATGTACGGAATAGGTCCAATCCAATCTAATAAATATTTTGGACCGAATTAATCCAATCCAATGTCTTATTGGTCCGTCTAATCCATCCAAATTGATTTTGGATTGGACGGGGTCCAATCCAAAACTGGTCCATTGACACCATCTAAACACATTCAAAGGTGTTTGTGATTTTTAGAAGATTATACCCTTAGACATATATGCAAAAACAATGTTGCATGAGAGTATACCTAATTCAAATTTTATAGGTAGTGGAGTTTTAGGATTATAACATTCCTATTTCTATGGTTCTAATTTATATGCATGCAAACAATTGAACAAATTTGTACAGCTTAAATTCTCTATTGAAATCGATTTTTGTCAATTACTCATTTGATGAAATGATGATAAATAATATTAGAGGACCTCTAGTAGTTACTTAATTACATACATTATTTAATTATTTTGGTATACATTGCTAACGGGAGGTGAGAATTACATAATTATATATATCTATTTCATCTGCAGGGTTGTGCAAACTAAATAAACTGGAGGAGTTAGATCTCAATCAGGGGGGTTATGATGGATTTGTGGGTAATCAAAGTTCATGTTCAGGAAACTTGACGAGCCTTCGGGTGATGGATCTTTCTCACAATCAATTTGATAGAAACATTGACCCATTAATCATTCATGGTGTGACCTCACTTGAATACCTTGCTCTTTCAAATAATCGCTTTAAGGTTTTTATTCATTTAATTCATTGGCCGACCTTTCCAAACTTGAAGTTTTTCCAAATTCAAAATAACTAACTTCAAGTGAAAACTGACTTCACACATTTGGTTCCAACTTTCAATCAATTGAAGATCTTGGATTTGTCAATCTTCACATTCAACAATAAACCCTGTCCAATGCCTAATTTGATTTATGGGTGGTTGACCTCTCCCATAATAACTTTTACAATACCCAATTTCCTACTGGGTTATTAGAGAATTATTGGATTTTAATCTCATAAGAGATTAAATCAAATGGGTTTGATTGGTCAATTACATGAAAAATTGCACCTGCACACTTGATTGAAAAATCAGTTTTTTTTTTATAAAATCGGGTTTTGAACATGTCCCACATTAGAAAATTATAAGTTTTGTTTTCAGTATTTCAATAGGAGCTGATTTACACTCCTTAGAATTAGTAGAGGAGAGTATGGGGATTCGATACCGCGCTTTGGATTGTAAAAGTTATTGCGTGTGTGCGGCGCAATGAGGCACTTTAGAGGCGCACTTTGCTCGCGATGGGCGGCTTTGATTTTAGTGCGTTGCTGACCGTTGATCACCGTTGATCACCGTTGATGAGATCAACGGTCACGATTCGATCGGATGTGATCAAGAAGCACAATTCAAAGTTAACAGTCACTAACTGTTAACTACATTTTAAACAGTCACAATGTTTGAAATTGTGACTGTTCAAGGTGCCTTCTTTAAACCAGCACCTACTTTTTCTTCATACCTCTTCACAAATTATTTAAAGAGCATGAATCAAACTCCAAAACATATAATTTTGAAATTTACTCTCTCTCTCTCAATCCGATCTGCTACAGTCTTACAGAAGGTTTCTTTGGAGACTCTTCAACTTTATTGGTTGTAGATTCTCGCCCATGGCTCTGTTGTATCTTGGGAACGAATTCATCTACAACCCAACAGCAAACTCAGTAAAACTGAGTGAGGGAAAATAACGCTGTGAACGAATTTGTTCACAGGCATAGGCACTCTTATTCTACCATCTCATCTTTGTCCATATATGCATATCTTAAGTATTCCCATAATCACTTTTTTCGGTGAGATCCCAGGGAATATTGGAGTAATCTTCCCTAATTTACAAATTTTGAACATGTCAACAAATGCTTTTAGAGGATCAATTCCTCCATAAGTTGGAAACATGAGATGGTTAGAAGTTCTAGATCTTTCTGACAATACTTTATCAGGAAAAATTACTGAGCACTTGATCACAGGATGCTCACGGTTACGTTTCCTCATGTTGTCAAATAACAATTTGGAGGGGAAAAATGCTTCCAACTGTTTCTAACTTGTCCAACTTGATACACTTATATCTGGACGGAAATAAATTTACAGGAAACATTCCATTTAGCTTGTTCGAAAGCTTGGATTTGGAAGTATTGGATGTAAGTAAAAATAAACATCTCTGGTAGGCTTCCTGGATGGTTGGGGAATTTGTCAAACTTGCAAGTACTTATCATGGCTAATAATCATTTTGAAGGGCCGGCCAACTTCTGTGCACATGGAAATCTTTGGTTTATAGATCTTTCTGAGAACAATCTTAGAGGCTCAATATCATCTTGCTTCAGCCCAGAGAGATTGAATTATGCACATTTTCAAAAGAACCAACTTAAAGGACCCATGACAGAAGCCTTTTCTAAAAGCACTAATTTGGTGACATTGGACATAAGTGATAACTTCATAAATGGTAGTCTACCAAGATGGATTGTTAATCTATCATCATTGAGAGTTCTTTTGTTGAAGGGAAATCATTTGGAAGGTAACATTCCCATCCTGTTGTGTCATCTGAATCAAATAAGTATATTAGATCTTTCTCACAATAATCTCTCCGGTCCTATACCTTCTTGCTTGAGTAACATTACATTTGAAAGGCTCAAAGATCCAAATGGTGCAAATGGCCATAAATTTGATGTGGAAATTTATAGAGGTACAGTAACTTCATTTTCTTCAGAATATGTGTACAAGAGTAGGCTCGTGGAATTTCAATTCCTCCAATATTATGATGCCTTTAAAAAGGTAGAGGAACAAGTGGGTTTCACAACAAAAAGGTCTGACTTTTGTAAGGGCATCAATCTTGAACTCATGCTTGGATTAGATCTCTCATCTAACCAATTAACAGATCACATTCCACCTGAACTTGGAAAGTTACAGGAGATCCATACATTGAATCTATCTCACAACCATTTAAGTGGAAGCATACCAACAACCATTTCAAATTTGACGCAATTAGAGAGCTTGGACCTTTCTTACAACAATTTGATTGGGACGATTCCTCCACAGATAACTGAACTACGTACCCTTTTTGGGAACTTTCACGGTGGCACATAACAACTTATCAGGAAGGATTCCAGAGTGGGAAGGACATTCTACAACTTTTGAGAAAAACAGTTGAGGGCAACCCTCTTCTTTGTGGAGAGCCATTAGAGAAAACCTGCAATGGTGAGAGTAAGGCACCATCACTAGAAGGTCCATCTTCTAATAGTAAGGAAGAAGGGAATAACTCCATTGACATGAGCACCTTCACTGTGAGCTTTATAGCTTCTTATATCACAGTGGTTTGTGTTTGACATAAACCCCTATTGGCGACATTTATGGTTTTATCTCATTAATGTTTGTCGAAGCTCTTGCTATTACTTTGTTGTAGACAATTTTTGCAAGTTACCGGTGTTTCAAATCTTTGGACGTTAATCCTGTATTTGTTTTATGTAGGGTTCATATGCTACTTTTGGCAAATTCCATTGGTTAATATAAATAAATAATTAATCCTAGCTATGTGTTTCTTTCATGAAGTTTCTATTCAATTGTGGATGGTACTCTAGAGAAATTGTTAACGCATGAGATAGGATATGTATTGGTCTTATTTAAAACCTATCCTATTGTATCAGAATGGACATAAATGTCAATAGTGAATGTCAATTTTGAAATATTGTTGGTATGGGCCATAGCGCCAGCTTTTGGAAGATCCATGTATATCATACTTTTTACTAAACTTTGATGCGTCTCCTAATGGATCTCACTATGTGTCCCACATGGCAGATGGGCCCTTAACAGTCGTAGTTTCATTGAGGTGGACCTCTAAAGATAATTATTAATGATTATTTTTAATTTATTCTTTGTTTCGTGCAAAATTAACCAAGATATCCAACTTGAAGACCATGGGCCTACGGCCCAGTTGATCCTCTCGAAACATTGTCACGGGAGACGGGAGTCAACGAAGAAAGAATCGTGGTTTCATGGGGACCACAAGTTGAGTACAGATTGGATCATTGGAACATAAACCGATGAATTTTATAGTCTGTGACTACGGACCTGCAAATTAAAATACGACCTCATGGGCTAAACCCCGATAAAACCGGTTTGTACAAAAATTAAAAAAAAAAAAAAGTCAAGAGAGATGACTGATTATAACTGTTCACACAAACCGATGGATGACTGACTGTTCCAAACAGGTAAAGCACGCAAATTAATTTTTTTATTTAATTACTCCAGCTCGTATATTGTACGGATATTATTAAAAAATTGTGATAAGAATCTTATGACAATGTCAATTGGGTCAAGTGGTACTAACTAAAATCCAAATTATTTTTAGGTTACATGTTAGATAAGTTGTCTTTATTTATTTCAATCTTTACTATTTTTATTATATTTTATTATTTTTAAATGCAATGAACAGCCATTAATAAGTGACATATAGAGAAGACTCTTAGGACATTTTTAATTGGGCCTGAATCCTATTTCTTAGTATTATTCTTGGGTTATATATTATGTAATATATTAAAAAAATCTAGAAGGGATTAGGGAGAGGGAGAGTTACTTTTTTATCAAGTTAAATTTAAAACAATTTTTTATTGATTTTAATTAGATTATTTTTAATAATTTGTATCAATTTTAACCAATAAAATACTTTTGTTGAGTCTATTAACAATTTTTTATTGTTTTTAATTATACTAATTTTTATTGATTATTTAAATTTTATTTTTTTAGAAATTTATAAAATAAATTTTACTAATTTTAGAGTAAGTTAATTGTGTATAGTAAGTTTTTTATTTTAATTTTTTTCTATCACTTTCTGATTTCAAATATTTTCCCAATAAATATTACTTTTAATATATTAAAGTACTTTTTGTTACTTTTATTGAAATTTTCTCTTATTTTATCAGTTAATTAAAATAAGTATTATAATGCTATAGCATTTCCGGTTTGGGCTTCAGCTCCACTTAGGCAAGTCCAACCTATTGGAATGGAAACTTTCTTTTTTGGAACCAATGGATACGCAAGCATCAATACGAATCACATGTTCAACAAAAAGCATATATCATCTGTTTATGCAATTTTTATAGGATTTTTGTGCATTTTCAGTTATATGGTTCGAATCATCCTAACAGTGCATTTTCATTTATATGGTTCGAATAATCCAAACATTTGAATAGATCATCGAAACTTGGATGTACCATATTGGTTTCATTGATCAAGGAGAAGCTCAAACTAAGTTCGATTTTTGAAGTTTCTATAGTTTAATAAAAAATATTTGTCTTTATTTTTTGTGAAAAAGTATCATTTTTTACAGTTTTTTTCTGTTTTTGATATAATTGTTGCTGCCTAGGATGGGGCCGAGGGTAACAAGGTAACTTCGCTTCTGGCTGAGACCGATGTGTCCAATTTAAGAGTAAGGAGAGATCACACTTCAGAGCCCCCGAGTGTTATCTCAGGAGTGGAAACTCCGACGGTCAACTTAGTCAAGTACTTGAAAGGGGTCAAACTAAGCTTGAGACAAGGGCTCAGACAAGATCACTCGAGAGAAAGAAAGTTAGAGAGCAAGAGTGGACTAGATGAACTTACTTTGAAGTTGGGCATCCCCTTTTATACTTGACCTTGCCATAGAGTGGTTGGAGGCAATTAGAGATGGATGACTAAGATATCATCCGCCCGATACCACGTGGTGCCATCCAGGACCCTGCCATATGTGCCTATATCAGTAATGTACAATTTTTTTTTTAATTTTTTATCAATTATTTTTGTGTTTTCTACAATTTCTGTTTTTGGTTTGTATATATATATATATATGTATACTAATAAACATGTATATATATGTATATGTATATATGTATATATGTATACTAGTAAACATGTGCGTGCATTTGCACGTGACAGTATCTCCAAGACAAGACTATTTATAATCCATGGACAGTTTTTGAATGGTTATAAATGAGCAGTTTCTTAACTGTTATAAGTGGATAGTTTTTGGAGTGAGAGTAAAGGACATAATGCCCTTTTTTATGCATATTGTATGTTGTTTAGATAAGGGGTAAAAATGTCTAATGAAAAGTCTAGAAAATGGGGCTATTCGCTCTTTTATTAGTGTATATATATATATATATATATATATATTGAATTTTTATCAATTTATGTATTTTAAAAAATTTTTACTTTTTTTGTTGAAATATTGTTCTTTTGATTTGTTTTTATTATTTTCTGTTTTTTTGGTTCTATCGTTTTTGCATTTTTAGTTGAAATATAAATTTTTGAAAATTTTATCATATTATATATTTTTTCTGCAATTTCTTATTTTGACTGAAATATATTCTTTATCATCTTTTGAGTATGAGGGAGATGGGTGGATCAATGTCAAGGTGGATTGTGACCCATTAACATTAACATGGACGGTCAAACCATCTGACACAAGAATCAGTTATAATTCTGGGTCTTGTTTTGGATCCCAAGACCATTTGACCGGTATTTGAACGGTCAGATTTTGACCTGGGAATCGCTGATCAAAGCAATTCTGTTTCCAAATTAGTTTTTAACAGCATGCTGCACTAAGATCTTTATATTTAATTTCTTTCTTTTTTCTATATCTTTTTATTTATGGTTAGGAATCTGCTATCAACCCTGTCCCTTGTCATTCAGGGAAAATGTTTCCGATATAATGTAATTGCTGATTGGGACGATATTGGCACCGGTAGCTGGTCCGAACTCTCTATTTATAAAGGTAGCAATGGCGAGTGTCTGTATTTACTGGTTTGGTCACTAGGGAAGAAGAGGAGGAAGGGTGGGATAGAACTGGAATTTTAATGAAATATAACATGCACCTGACATTATAGGCCCAAGAAGGGTGCAAATGGCCCAAGAATTTTCATGGAGGACCTATTTCTATTTGGGGCCATCCTATTCCTATAGGATATATTTGAAAAGGTACAGTATGTATATTTAAATAGTTTAATGAAACCATAGGACATATTTATTTAATTATCCCATATATTAATGGCACAAATATCAATAATTAGAGTACAGAAAATAATTTATAGTGATGTGCGAAGTTGAAGTATGATAATAAATCCGGTGCTCCTTCAATGACCCTTTATCCTTGTCTCATACCTGTGCTTTGACTCTTTCAATCTGTTGTTTTTCTTGATGTGTTTAAATACTCATCATTTTGAGCATAGAAGAGGCCACAAGGAGTAGGAACAGAGGGAGCTACTTGAATACACTACCATTAATTCAAAGTGTCTACAACAAGTCAATGAATTCGCGATCGGCCTTGGGAATTTTATGGGTGTGGATGATTTTGGTTGTTGGGTTCAATCATGAAACATTAGGGTGCGTAGAGGAGGAAAGAAAGGGTCTCTTAGAATTCAAGGCTTACGTCCAACCTTACTTGAATAATCCCACTCTTCTCCAATCTTGGGTTGACGATGATAGCAGGAGCCATGAATGTTGTGCCTGGGAACGAGTTGAGTGTAATTCCACCACCAATCGAGTCATCCAACTCTCCCTCAACAATATGATAGATGTATATTTTAATTTAAATGTGAGCTTGTTTCTTCCTTTTCATGAGCTTCAAAATCTCAGTTTATCAGGGAACTCCATTATGAGTTTTGTGGAGAATCAAGGTAATATATCAATTTCGTTCTACTGTGATCGTTGAGCTCTTTTCTTGTTAATTTTTCTGATCATCTCTCCTTGGAAATGAAATGAAATAATGTTCATGTTCTAATGCATTCATAAGCCAGCAAGAGTTAATTAATTCATGAGGTCATCCTTAATAATCGGGTGATTGATGGGGGAGGGGGTAAATTAATTAAACAACTTCTGGCTTATATCATGATATTAAGAAATAGTAATAGTAATATGAAGTTTATCCATGCAGGCTTGGAACTGTTGGGTAGACTGAAGAAGCTGGAGGTCCTGGATTTGAGTTCGAATTTCTTCAACAACAGCATCTTTCCATCTTTGGGTGCCCTCAAATCCCTCAAGAATCTGTTTCTTTGTGAAAATGCTTTCTCAAATCCCTTTTCCTTTGAAGGTATGTTCAACTTTCGTTTTACTCTTAATAAACTCCTTATGGTTTATTTTACTTTTATTTCTATCATATATCATCTCTGGATTTTCAATACAAAATTTGTAGAATTTGCGGGTCTAAAGAAGTTGCAAATTCTGGATTTGAGTCGCAATTGGTTAAACGGCACTCCTGGGGTTAAGTCGTTTTGCTCTTAATAAAATCCTTATGCATGGTTTATTTTACTTTGATTATGAGGTTGCATCAAACTCAAAAGATTATTAAGTAACGCATGCACTGATATCTAGAATAGAGTGGAGTGGGAGAAAATTTTTTTGGTGAGGCTACTGAAGGTTCCGTCCGGGTGGCCCTGATTGGAATTCTTCTGAACGATTTCGCCGTTTGAATGGGGGCGGCTTAGATGCTGGTTTTGTTGGAGTAGATTGGTATCTTAAATTTTATTTTTGGTTCGGAAAGGTTTCTGTGTGAATCTGGATGCCAGATCCGCTGCCATTTCCTAACTAATTTTGGGTTCACTGGGTGGCGCTTCAAGACTTTTGGTGAGCGCCCATGGCCATGGAGGTATCTATCAAGGTTGTGGTCGCAGTTATTGGCAATGTTTTATTCAGGTGTTTTGGTTTCAGGCGATCTGGAGTCGGGCGAACTGGTTTCCGGGGAGAAAAGTGCCGTAACTTCAGGCGACCTTGATGCTGGGTAGGAGATCTGAATTCTTTCAATTCCTGCACCAATTCTGATGGGCGGTTTCTATGGCAAAATCTACTGCCCTACTGTTACAGGGTGTTGCCAGAATTATCTGAATTAATAGAGGCCCATTTGGCCATTTATGGATGTATAGATTTGAAACGGGCTGGCCCATGGGCTATAGAGCCATGGCGTGCCAATCAATACCCGCACCCCAGGCCGGGCTGGGCCTCCGGAGTAAGGCCTAGGTGCTTGGCACGGCATGGTCTGCGGTCCTGCACGTTGAAAGGTAATTTTGGTTAAGTCGGGGTGGGGTAATTTTAGTTAAGTGATAGGAAAACTCTTACAAAAATTCCCAAAGGATCAAAATATCCCTCAAAACAACTATAAATAAATAGTTTAGGAGGACAGTTTAATCAATTCAATGCTCTTCAACTCCTATAAATATTCTTATCTTTACTTGCTTTCATCACAATGGCGATCAATCTTTCTCATCCCAATTCCCATAAAACCCCTTATTTTCAAATTTATTTTACTATTTCATTTTAATTTTATTGTATTTTTTCAGTTATATATATATATATATATATATATGTGTGTGTGTGTATTAAAATTCATATGAATTAAAATTTTAAAAAGTTTTTCAATCTGATGTCTATCTTATTATCCTTTTTCAAAATTTCTTATTTATTCTTTCAAATTTTCTTTCAATAAAAAAAAAAAAAATCATACCAGCACACAGGCTCATGGACTGCAAACTTGGTGGGTTTTACCATTTTAAAGAGAATTAATTGGGTAGGAAGGCGTTTTCCTTGGATTTATTGGGAATCTTGACTGCACATGTGGAGGAGGTCTGGGCCTCCCCTACTTTCACGGAAGCTGTGATCTTTTGTCGTGTTTGTCGTGTATTTGGGTTTGATGTAGCGATGCGAACAGTATGCAATCGTTTCAATTCAGATTTGACTTCGATCCATTAAAAATAATTCATATTCGATCCGTTTATAATTGAAGCAAATACAGATTCACCCTATCCGATCTGATAATATATCTCATTCGATCCGTTTATATTGTATCTCTCAGTCAAGTTAGTTTAAATGCTGTGTTTTTGTTAAATTGTCATAGATTTAAATTCATGTAAGTTATTTTTATTCAACCATTTTGTTCCACTAAAAAGCCAGTCAATCTTCAATGTGCCAGTTGGGGTGCATATCAATATGTAGGGATGTAAATTAGATTGCATTTGGTCCAATCTTATTCAGCTCATCGAGTCCATTACAAATGGACCAGGTCTAATCCAATCTAATGAATAATTTGGATCATTTTGGACTGGTCCAATTCAATAATTCTAATATTTTCTATAAAGAAATTAAGATGATTTATTTATTAATTTAATTTACTAATTTTTAATTTTTTTATCATTTTCATTTATTGGTTTACCCGTTTTTAATATTTTGTATTCATTTTGTGGTGTTTAATTATTTCATTAAAATAGTTGTAATATTTTAATTATCCTTAATAGTATACTTAGTATTTTTTATTTATTGGTTAATATTTTTTGATATTTTATGCTTTTTAATTATCCTTAGTACTATATTTAATACTTAATTTATATTATTTTTATATTATTACTCTTTTATTGTGTTTTTGATCATTTTCATTTATTTTTATTTAAAAAACAACTGTGAGGGGAACATTTATAAAATAAATAGGTTTTAGACATTACAACATTCAGATAACCGAATAATTTCACTATTTTTAGATGTCTACAAAAGTGGAATAGCAAATTTTCTACTGAATGCTTTCAGAGCTTTTTCGGAGCTGTTTTTTCTTTTCAAACTTCACACTTCATATTCTACAAATCCAAAGTTTTTTTTTGTTTTTGAAAGCCCTTCGGCAACTTCATTCAACTTTCAATCTCAGGTACATTCTACAAATCCAAAGTAAGTACTATTAAGTCTAGATATTTTATATTACTCCCTAGAGTCTTGATCTTCCTAATAAAACAAGACCTGCACAATGGGTTATACATCTTATCAATCACAAATAAATATGTCATTTGGTAATAATATGGATCATTACATGTTTGTTTGATTGGGTGTATTGCTCATTGAACAAATTTTGTTTCTCCACTTTGAAAACTTCAACATTTTAACTTATCAATGAATGATTTTCATGGTTTAATATATAGAGAGTCAAGGTAACATTTCAAATTTGTTCTGCTGTGCTTTCCATGTCCAACATTATTAAACCTTTTTCCATATTGTTTCTACACTTCTATATGAAATGAATGGAAAGTCTAAAGAGATTTTTTTTTTATTATTATTCAAATTTGATTCTAATGTGTACATAAGCCAACAATGGTTAAATTATGACTTAGGTTGTGTTTACTACCGAAGAACAGGAAGCTATCCATCCAAGGTTACAGCCGTTTGATTGGCATTTTATATAAATGGATGAGTGATAGGGTACATTATGCTTCAGGCTTAAATTACAATATTGGCAAAAAATAAAAAAATAGTTATATGTATTTATCCTTGCAGGGTTGGAACCGTGGGGTAGAATGGAGAAGCTGGAGGTGTTGGATTTGTGTAGGAATGGGTTGGACAACAGCATCTTGCCGTATTTGGGTGCCCTCAAATCCCTCAAGATTTTATCTCTTAATGAAAATGCTTTCACAAACCCCTTTCCTGAAGGTATTTTCAAATTTCACTCTCAAATTCTCAATAAAATGCATATGGTCTGGCATCACTTTCTTAATGTTGTCTCTATATTTTTTATACTGAAATTTGTAGAATTAGCGGGTCTGGAGAACTTGCAAATGTTGGATTTGAGTTGGAATAAATTAGAAGGTAATCTACAGATCCTCAATTAACTTATGCTAGCTGCATTACCAATCAAGGGAAGAAGCAAATTAAACAATTCTTTTCTTTTCTTTTTTTATAAATTTGGATTATTGAATCTGACCAAGTAGCATATAAATTGAATCTGACCAATTCAAGTGGCATATAAATTAAAATTCTCATTCCAAATTTCTGATTTTTAGATACAAACCAAACGGACCCTTAAGTCATCCTTAAGACGGATGAATAGAAGGATATCCATCTAAGTAATCAAACGTCGTCACAACCGTTTGATTGGAAATTTATATAATTGGCTCTTGCTGAGTGATTTTTCTTTTTTTGTTTTTTTTGAAAGCCCTTTGGTGAGTGATTGGGTACATTTAGCTTACTTCTTAAATTACAAAGTTGGAAAACAAAAGGAAATATTTATCCTTGCAGGTTTGAAAACGTTGGCTAGATTAGAAAAGCTGGAGGTCCTTGACTTTGGTAACAATGCCTTGGACAACAGCATCCTGCCGTCGCTGGGTTCCCTCAAATCCCTCAAGAAACTGTCTCTTCGTCAAAACTCTTTCACAAACCCCTTTCCTTACGAAGGTATGTTCAATTTTAATCTTAATTTTATCCTGGATAAAAGCTATATGATCTGACATCTGAGAATTAAATTAAAGTCTTTGATTTAATTTGTTGCCGTGACTCCACGATGAATTAGATGAAGTGAGTCATTGATGGGGCCATTGCAGTACATCTATGATCATGATTTTTTGTTTTAACCCTGCGTTAGTATTGACTCTTTCTTATTGCCATTTCTGAAATTTTAATACAAAATTTGTAGAATTATCGGGTTTGGAGAACTTGCAAATATTGGATTTGAGTTGGAATGGGTTAAGCAGCACTCTGGGACTTCAAGATCAAGGTAAGCCCAATTAAATTACATATACAAGTTATATATCATGGTTTTCAAAACCGGATTGGACCGGATGGTCGGACCAGAAAAACCAGAAATCGGTTCTATTTTTTTCTAAAACTGTTGATTTTGGTCAATAAACCGCTGAACTGGATGATTAATGGTCTGAACCGTTTGAATAATTTTGATCATTTTTTATTTTTTCTGTCAAACCGTTCGACCCGGTATTCATACCATTTGACCTGATAACCGGATCCCTGATTGATTCGGTCACCAGGTCGGTTTTAAAAACCATGCTATATACAACAGCAAACAAGAGGGGAAACTGAATGCTTTATACCGTACCAGCCATGCATTTAGCATATTTGGCATGGACTGAAGTGAATGACTATAGTGTCAAGTGTTGGTTGGTATCTGATTTTTGATTTCTTGTGTTCCATTGATATTAGGATGGCAATTTTTACCCTATCCCGTGGTTATTCACCCTTCACCCTTATCCTCTCCGGTAGAGAGTGTTTTTTTTTTTTTTTCTTTGAAAAATAGGTTTTGGGATTCTATAACCTGTACAGGTATGGTAGGGAATGGTATTTGCCTAAACCCGACTCTCTCCAATTCATATATTGTTTGAAAATCATATAAACCTTATCTTTTAGGTCTTGAATTTAATAATATCTTAAATTTTTCATAGAGAACAATTGATAGTTTATGTATTTTTTTTATGCCTTAATCAAATAATTGAAAATTTTGTTGCTTATTTATGTTTTTTACTTATTTATTTCTAATATATGACAATAAATAATAGAAAATTGGATGTGGATTCTAAACCCAATCCCCTACCCTTGAATGCAGGAAGGGTAGGGTCAAGGAGGATTTGGATTAAAAAATTCCAACCTGCCATGGGTTTTGGGGGCAGGGGGGGTATGGTTTGAAAAGTTTCAGGAGGTGGATAAAATCTAAAATTCACAAAACCCTTCCTGAACCCACCTCAGTGCCATCCCTAGTTCTTATTTTTCTTATCTGAGTTTCTCTAGTTTGTTTTGATTTCTTGTAATGGATCCATATCTAGTTTGTTTTGATTTCTTTGTTACTTTCTGACCAATTTTACCATATATAATACTTATTCAACAATAACTCTTTCGCAGGCTTTAAACACTTAGATAGGTTGAAAAACCTGGAGGTCCTCGACTTCAGCCATAACTCTTTCGGCCGAAGTATTATTCCCAATTTGGGAGCCCTCAAATCTCAATCCCTCAAGTCTCTGGATCTCTCTGGCAATAATATAGAAGGGACCTTTACTGGCCAAGGTACGTAAGACTGATGTTCATAATCTCCTCATATATATATTGAGTCCAGATCTCTTGCCCACACAAATTCTGTCCACTTCTATCCACACAACATCATAGTCATACATGGAGAATATCTCATCCTTCTACATAGTATTATGCAAGAAGAAATGTTTCCAATTCATGGATAGTTTGTTATGGATAGACATGGGCAGAGATCTAATGGGAAGAAGATCCGGAGTCGTATACAATCTCTCAACGAATCAACAGTCTCAATACCAGGTAAAGTTGGAGTCTCTAAATTTCGTGGTTTTGCAGAATTTGCGAATCTATACAACTTGCAAATGTTGTATTTGAGTGAAAATGGATTTAATGGAACTCCACAAATCATCCCAGGTATGTCCTGTTGGATCCTCGTATTAATTCTATGTCATTTATTTTCTTCTTATGAACTTCATAGCAGAAAAATCAAATTAGTGATATAATGCCTCATCTGAAGAAGAGGCCTCAAAACATTTTTAAAACTTGAGATTCAAACAAAACAAAACAAGAAACTCTGCTTTCCCTTCCTCCCTTAATTCACCAATTGCCTTCACCAAAAAGAGCTTGAAAATGAATGGTGCAACCTCTGCTACCAAACGAGGAGTTTTGGAGAAGCATCAATTCTTTGATTCTAATTTATTCTCTTATTGCTAATCATCTAATTTAACAAAGCAGTGTACACATGAGGTCGACTGAAAAATTACATACTTTTGGCATGGGAAGTAAATGACTCCCGGGAATCAGAGATGATGATTCTCAAATATATTAATTCCTAACATGGAAGTGGGATGTCCATGCAGACCATGCCAATAATATGCAGCTAATTAGCTGCATTAAATTTCAATCAATTAATAATTAATTATTTAAAGCAATAATATTGCAAACAACATTTTGGTATTTAATGAATTAAATATTTAATTTCAAAATAAAGTTATTTAGATAATAATGATTTAATTTTTCAATGTCACTAGTGTTTTTTCTGTTAATATTTACATTTTAATCTGTTTTATTTCTTTATTTTTGTTTTTGGCGGGGGTAACTTGATATAGAAAAGTCAACATTTTGAGTGGCTAAAATTCTACCTAATAAATATTGTAGGCAAAGTGGCTACACAAGTGTGGTAGTCCATACATGAGAATGGTGGCTACAACCTAGACATAATAATAAAACTCTAAAATAGGTCTTCATCCAATTTCACCGTTGAATGCGTTCATGAACTTTTCCTTTCAATTTCAACCTGTATTTTGATATATTCTATTATTAGATTATGCTTTTAGTTAATTGGACAGTAAATTATTATCTATCTATCTATCTATCTATCTATCTATCTATATCTATATCTATATCTATATATAATAAAACAAAGTGGTCAAGAAATTTTTTCTTTTTCTTGAATTTTTATTTTTTTATTCCAGGTCATTTTCTAGACAACCAATAAAAGAAGAGTATATGTAACCCTATTTCCCACTCTTGCCTATCCGGTTGGAATATCTTTAATTTTTAACTTTATTTTCTTTTTTTTTTTGCTTCCATATATATATATAACAAGGCAGTGAAGAAATTTTCTCCTTTTTTTGAATTTTTTTATTTTCTTATTCCATGTCATTTTTGAAACAACCAATGAGATGCACTTTCCTAAAAACTAAATAATCTCTTCTCCAAAAATTTCTCCTAAACTACCTCCCTCACTATCCCCCCACTTTCTCCAAAATTATTTCTAATTCATATTTATCTTCTAAATTAACTCTAATTCCTATTTACTTCCAAAATTATCTCTAATTTAGTAGAGATTTTCTCTCCTAAATTATCACTAATTCCGATTTATCCTCTCCCCTACTTCTTATCTATATCTATCTAAAGAAAGTTTGGATTAAAAAAAATTAAGAATTATTTAAATATTCTAACAAAATTATATAATAACTTTAAAATATTTATTCAAAACATAAAAAATAGTTTTATAATCTTACAAAATATATCACAAAATTATGTACTAACAATTTAAATATTTTGTAGATTATTTAAGTATTTATCAAAACTAGATTTTAAATAGTTAAAATAACGGAATTTTGTAATAAATTTAAAAAATTCTTCAAACTAGAAAAATAATTATAACATAATATTGAAATTAGTAATAATTTAATATATTACAAAATTAATAATGAAATTATTAATAATAGAATAAATTATGATTTTATGGATAATTAAATTCAATAAATAATTAATATTTTAAAATTTCAATATTTGACATATTATTTAAATATTTAAATAACTAAATACTTTAAATAACAAAATATTTAACATAACTTGATTTTAAATAGTTAAAATAAAGAAATTATTTAATAAAATTAAAAAACATCTGAAAAGTAGAAAAATAATTATAACATGATATTGAAATTAATAATAATTTAATATTTTTACATAATATTGTAAATAACTAATTTCACTTATGTCAAGTAATAATTCGAGAAAATAACTTTCAAAAAAAATATTTTTTAACAATAATTTTAAACTCTTAATTTGTATTTATTATATAATTATATATACTAAAATTAATATTTATTTTATTTCAGTAATTATTTATTGTTTTATGTGATAAATGCATTATCAATGATTATGTATAAATTTATTTTGTTTTGTTATTTAACAGAAAACTTTCAATAATTATTGGAGATTAAACTACTATTATTGAATTTTTAAATTTAATTTATTGTACTTATTGTATTTATTGTATGTTTGTTATAACTTATTGATTAATTAATATTTATTAGAGATTAAAATATTATTTGAGATTATACTATTATTGACTAAGTTAATATATTTTTAGTAATTATTTATTGTACTTATTGTATTTTTGTAATTATTTTAATTAATGTATTTTTTCATTATCAATATATTTTAAATAATTGTGTATTTTTGCTATGAATTTTTAATAATTATTGGAGAATAAAATATTGTTATTTATTGGAGATAAGATTATTAATTTAGCTAAAATTAAAAGTGTTCATGAGTTGGTTTGGTCCGGCCATATGCTATTTGGCCAACGAAATTGAACTAGTGAGATTGGGGAGTTGGTCAATTGAAACCAACTGACCTTTTGTAAAAATCAACCCACTCAAGTTGTATCGGTTTGGGTTGGTTTTCATAAAAGGTCAGTTGGTTCAAAATATTTAAACTTAAAAATTAAATTAAATTTTAAAAATTATAGTGCAATTATTAAAAAATAAAATTAAAAATTAGATTTATGAAATAACACATTTTACGCTAAGAAATATAGGAAATTTCTCACATTTTCATATTCAAAATTATATTTAAAATATAAAATATTAATATATATCCATAGTTAGGTTGTTCAATTTTGGCCGGTTTACAAATGGCCAAAGTGAAACTGATCCAACTTGGTCAAATTGGGAAATTTTTAAACCAAAGCTGACCTAAAATATTAGAAAACCGACCAACTCGGGTCAAGTTGATCGTGTTGGTCAATTTCATAAGTTTGATGAATAAACCTAACTAAAATTAATTATTGTTATTGAAACAATTGTATATACTCTTATGTGTTTCTATTCAGGTTATTTATTAGAACCCACCTTATAGTTTTACATATTTACTTAACCTACCTTATAGTTTTTATTTTACTAAAACATCCCATATATTTTACAACTTATTTACTTAACCAACCATTCATTAAGGAGTGTTTGTTTTGCCATTAGGCCCATGATTTTTTATTCAAAAAATATCATTAACACTTTTTTATACAGAAAACAAAATTGACCAAATATAGTCAATAGAGTGGTTGCTCGTATCTTATTAAGGGCAAGAATGGTATTATTATTTCTATTTTCTTTTGATTAAATTTATTTAAATGAACAATAGGGTCAACAATGTCATTTTCCACTATCATCTAATGGAAGATTGATTAAATCCGTTGCAAATTATAAGTGGTGTTTTAGTAAAATTGTAACTATAGGGTAGATTTTAGTAAATTCATGAAACTATAAGGGTATTTTAGTAAATGACCCTTTCTATTATTTATCTTTCGCTTAATAAATCCTATGCATTGCACAGGTTCCCGCTAGTAAATATTAAAATAAGGTAGTGAAGAAATATTTTCTTTTTATTTTTTTTATTTTTTTTCTATGTCATTTTTTGAAACAACCAATGAGATGCATCACACAAACTCTGCTCACGTCGACCCACATAACATTACAACCAAAGAGATGCACATTCCCAATAACCTAAACAATCTCTTCTCCTAAACTACCTCCCCCACTATCCCCCACTTTATCCAAAATTATCTCTAATTCTTATTCATCTTCTAAATTATCTCTAATTCCTATTGATCTCCAAAATTATCTCTAATTTAGTAAAAAGTTTCTCTCCTAAATTATCCATAATTCCTATTTATCCTCTCCCCTACTTTTTATCTATATCTATTTAAAGAAAGTTTGGATTAAAAAATTTAAGAGATACTAAATACTTTAACAAAATGATATAATAAGTTTCAAATATTTATTAAAAATACAAAAAATAATTTTATACTTTGACAAAATATATCATGAAATTATTACTAACAATTTAAATTATGTTTATCTGGATTATCAATTTAAATGTTATCAAATATTTAATAATATGTAATAGCTTTAAATAAATAAAACTCAAATAACAAAAAAAAGTTTAAATATTTTATAGATTTTTTAAATATTCCAATAACAAAATTATGTAATAAACTTAAATAAATTCTTCAAAGTAGAAAAATAATTATACCATAATCCTGAAACTAATAATAATTTAAAATATCACAAAATTAATAATTAAATTATGTACTAATAGTATAAATTATGATTTTATAGATAATTAAATTCAATAAATAATTAATATTTTAAAATTTAAATATTTTACATATTATTTATGCATTTAAATTACTAAATATTTTAAATAACAAAATATTTAACATAACTAGATTTTAAATAGTTAAAATAAAGAAATTATATAATAAATTTAAAAAAATTCTAAAAAGTAGAATAATAATTATAACATAATATTGAAATTAATAATAATTTAATATTTTTACATAATATTGTAAGTAACTAACTTCACTTATATCAAGTAATAATTCGAGAAAATAACTTTCAATAAAATTAATATTTATTAATAATAATTTTAAACTCTTAATTTGTATTTATTATATAACTATATATATTAAAATTAATATTTGTTGTATTTCAGTAATTATTTATTAATTTTTGTGATAAATTTATTTTTAATGATTATGTATAAATTTATTTTGTTTTGTTATTTAATAGAAAACTTTCAATAATAAATGGAGATTAAACTACTATTATTGAACTTTTTAAATTGATTAATTTTTATTAGAGATTATACTATTTATTGACTAAGTTTATATATTTTTAGTACATATGATATTTTTGTAATTATTGTAATTATTGTATTTTTTTCATTATCAATGTATTTTCAATAATTGTGTACGTTTCTATAAATTTTCAATAATTATTGGAGATTAAACTATTGTTATTTATCAGAGATGAGACTATTAATTTAGCTGAAATTATGAGGGTTCATGAGTTGGTTCGGTTTATTCGCAGACTATTTGGCCAATCAAATTGACTTGGTTAGGTTGGGGACTTGGTCGACTAAAACCGACTGACCTTTTGTAAAAACTGACCCATTCAAGTTGTATCGGTTTGGGTCGATTTTTTGGTTCGGCCACTCTGTTCAAAAGATTTAAACTTAAATATTAAATTTAATTTTAAAAATTATAGTTCAATTATTAAAAAAAAAATTTAAATTAGATTTATGATATAAAACATTTTAGACTAAGAAATATGGGAAATTTCCCACTTTTCCACATTAAAAGTTGTATTTAAAATATAAAATGTTAATATATATCCATGGTTAGGTTGTTCAATTTTGGTCGGCTTACAAATGGCCAAAGTGAAACTGATCCAATTTGATCGAATTGGGAGATTTTTTTAACCAAAACCAACCTAAAATACTAGAAAATCGATCAACTCGGGTCGATTTTTCGTGTCTTGGAATGAACTATACCCATGCTCAATTTTCTATTTGGTTCCATGCTTCTCAACCCCCTATTCCAAGCTTCTACTAGTTGATCATTGATCTATTGCTTCCATCTTCTTTCTCCTTTTTTAGACCTGTGATTCTTTTAGTTCTAATCTTTGATTTTTAATGATTAATCATTATTTTTATTATATTTAATTAATTATTAAATTATCATGTATTATGTTCTAAGACCCACCATGCTAGTGTGGTGTGTTCTGAGATAAACTAGACTTTTCCAACCATGCACAGAACAGAACAAGGAGAGATAGGGTTTATTTTCTTGGAACATTTTGTTTTCACAATCTGAGTAGACCAATTACTGAACAAGGTATGTATTACAGGAAAATTTGATATCGAGTGTATTTTTTTGGAACATTCTGTTTTCACAATCTTATTTGGCACATTATATGTTTTCACTCTCAGGTATTAAAAGGTTGAGAAAGCTGGAGGTCCTTGACATATCAAATAACAAATTCAGCACAACAATTCTTCAGTATATTGGTCTTCTTTTACCCAATATTAAAACATTGTATCTCGGTGGAAATGATCTGAGTGGACCAATTACTGATCAAGGTATGTATTATAAGAAAAATTGATATCGAATGTATATTTAATTTGGTTCAATTTTACTTTTGCATTAATTAATTCAGTCACCACCAATGATTAATTTCTTCTAGTCTAACATTGTTTACTTTCTCCTTAATTTGATATAGATTTGAGCACTTTGAGTGAGTTGGAGTTATTAGACTTGTCTGATACTACACTCAGCTATGACTTTCTCCAGAATATAGGGGAAATGGTTTCTCTTAAGTTCTTACGGATGGGTAATATTAAAGGACTCAATGGCACTCAACTATCATTTAAAGGTATGACTTAAATGGGTTTATGCAATTAATGCATGCATTGAAAATTAACTTCCTAATTCTCATCGTTGCTTTTTTTACATTAGTTTTTTTTTTTGAGAAAAACATAAAGGGGTGTGGTTTGATAATTGATAATTCCACAACCTAGTTACTGCCCATAACCCTCCAAAGACCTTACTAATTGAAGCAGGTATTATCTTTAGAGGGTGTTTTTTTTTTTTGGATTTTTAGAGGAGGAGAGTTGGTCAATGGGATTTTGATTCTTATTGACCAAAAATTTAATGTTTTTTTTTTTCAGATTTATGTGGGTACAGGAAAAGTTCATTTTTCAAGGTAAGTGATACCCATCTCCTAGGTGGGTAAATAACTTTCCCACCTTAGAGGAAAGTTGCTTGAAATGGACAAAAATGCCCCTTTTAATAATGGATTTTCATGAATAAAATGGCAATTGCCTTATTTACATGGGAAATAAAAGAACATGGGTAAATACACTTAACCGAGTAAATCTTTCCTGGGAAACAATTACCTGGGTATGTGCATTTACCCCGGTAAGTAACTTACCAAACTGCGAATAAGACCTTAGGGTGCATTTGGTTTATGGACAGGACCGCAATCGGAAACAAAATCCCCAGGAACCAGAATCGGAATCACCTATTCCTAGCATCTGTTTGGTTCAGTCAGGAATCGGAATTGGAATCGGATTCCTGCTGTTTGATTCAACTAGAAGATGGAATTGGAATCAACCAAAGTTTCCAATTCTACCCCTGTTAAAAGAACATAAAAAATACCACTATTTATATATTTTCAACATATACACACATTGGCAACCAGCTATCGCATATATGGAGAAAATATGACAAAACAAACAAAAATCACAAAAAAAAATAATTCTTCAGAAAAGAAAAATACATAAATAAACAAAAATCTCTCATAATGGTAGAAATATTACTGGTACGACATGAACGTTTAAAACAAAAATCCCGCATCTATAATACGATGTCACTCCTACATTTCATCTTCTACAATTGAACTTCAGCTCAAAAGGCTATAACTTGCACATAATTTGGTGATTGATGAATAAATCCTCGCCTTCTTGCAACTGAACCCATATTTTTTACAGTCAGTTCCATCTGAACCATCTGACCTCATGAACCAATTATGGGCTGAGATAAGTAAGAAAGTGCATTAACTGAAAGACACATTTGGGTTCCATGATCTTCACTTCTAAAATCCGAAGTCAAGATTAAGATCAATCCCTTGAGCGAACATTTTCTACAACACTAAACCAACTTAGCCTGCAAAAACAAATTAAACAAACCAAAGGAACCAACCAATTAGACATGTATATAGCCCTGTTTGAGAACACTTAAAAGAAGTACTTCTTTTAAGATATGGAACCACACATTAAGTGGTATTTAGGTATTTATGGGTGTTTGGTAAAAAAGTGGGGAAGAAGTACTTTATTTTAAAGTACTTCTTTGAAAAAGTGACTTCAAGTTGGTTTTTTTTTTTTAAATACTTCTTGAAGAAGTACTTCTCCAAAATAATAGGACGAACCAGTCCCTGGCAAATTTTTATAATGACTAAAATACCCCCATGAGGTTATACCTCTCCCTTCTCCAATCATTCGACCCTCAAACCCTAGCAGCAATGGCACACCAGTTGCAGGTCCACCGGCAGCGATTGGCGGTCAGGAACCGTGGCCGACAGACCTGCCGTTTGGCCTCTTTCCTCTGTCTTGAGGTTTTCTTCTCATTTAATCGTTTTTTTTTTTTTTTTTTTTTTTTTTTTTTAACTCTATTCTTTGTAAATCTACTGTTTGAACGGCGACCGACGACAATAGGTTAGTTCTCTATACATAGATCTACTATTGTGAAATCTACTGTTGGTTGTGTGAAGTCTGAAATCCGAAACAGAGCTCGATCTTAGATCTCTGAAACATAGCTCGATCTCAGATCTCTGAAACAGAGCTCCATCTTAGATCTCTGAAACAGAGCTCAATCTCAGATCTCTGAAACATAAATCTGAAACAGTATAGGCACTCAACTCATTGATATGTTTTTGATATTCGTGATATGGATTGACTGATATGTAGTGCAAATGTATTTTTTGATTTTATAGATACAAGCTTTGCAATTTTTTCATCCCTGAAATTATATTTGGTTATAGGCACATCAGTCTTACATTCTGAATCACATTCATTCATTCAGTAGAAATAGTTACTGCTACTTGTTCAACTCACTGCAAAAGCATGAGAAACGTTTAAAGCAGCCTCCAAATTATCATAAATTTAATCTGGGCTAAAATTTTCATTTGTATAAGTATAAGCACTTATGGGAAAAGTAGCTTACTAAACATTACCATCCCAATAAGTACTTAAAAACATAATAAGTGATTTGAAAAGTGGGTTACCAAACAGCCTAAAAGGTTGTTAAAATAAGTACTTCTATCAAGTACTTCTTTTAACAAGTACTTAATCATCAAACAGGGCCTACATCAACTATCAAAGCAATAATAGAAAGGATCATACAACCAGTAGAATAAAAAGGGACAATCTACCACATCCATCCGGGAAATGACCATCTATATGCATCTATAAGGGTTAAGGTATGACAAAGTGGTTCAAGGCCCTTAGTTGTATAAGGTACACTTCAGGGATCTTTGCAATGTATCTTGCTTCCTATGCCTCTGTTAACTACCAATGACTGCTAGGGCTGATCCACCATAATTAAGAACGAAGTCCTCTCTTTGTGTTGTTAATTCTAGAAGCATCAGGAAATCAAAATTGAGGAATCAGCTCAATTGGATAGTGTACTGAACCATGATGCACAGATCAAGGGGGGGAGGGGGGGGGGAAGGAGAGGAAACTGAATATCCCATAACGTATGAGCCTTGGTTACAAAAGACATAAATTAAGAAATAAAACCTAAGTAGTTAGATATTTCAGCATACATACTTGTGTACACAGAAATATACCTGTAAGATTCTAGTCAATGACCTCCTGCCATTGAGGTTTCTTCATTCTCATCAGCAAACCTAAAGCCATTGTGGAACTGTCAGGGGAAAAGAGACAATAAACGAAAATGTTTAATTCTAATGAACCATGTACAAACTCTTGATACCTGCATTATTTATCAATATGTCAACTGTTCCCCATGTATCTACTGCCTGAAGACATGATAATACCAGGAATTAGCTTTAAAATATGCAACCACAATAATTTCATGGGCCACTCACTGAATCAATAAGCACAAGGAACTTCATCTTATAGTTTTTTATCATTGATTCCACTTCTTCTTCCGAAACATCTGCCCCAAAAACAAGAGCTTGACCAGCAGATGCCTCTATCTATGCTCCACTAGCTGTTTCTTTGCCCACACAGATGAGGAGCTGCGCATCCTGTATGTCTCCATGGGCTCTGCTGTTCCTTCTCCTCGCTCAACTGCTTCAGCTGCTACTGCTATGGAGATGGCTGCTGCCATGAGCCTCTTGCTTGGTTCACCCTCTTCAGTCTCTGTTATGGAGATGGCTGCTGCCATTAACCCCACTCATCCTTGGATTGGCCACAACCCAATGTCCCAACCCTGCATCTTCCTGGTAGTAATATTCACAATCTAGTCGCCTGAGATCCTCTCTCAATGCAAGAGACATCTTCAATCTGAGCTAGATTGAGCTCCATCCCAAGATCTTCTGACATGGTCTAAAAATTGCTCCCAGTTATTAAAAGCTCCGATCAACTTTAGGTGGGTCCTACAATTTCTCATAAATTCGATACTAATGGAATATTTGACAAAATAATGCTGATAAAATATTTGACAAAAGGATTAACATTCACTAGCAGCAAAAATACCTTGTCGCGAATGCACATACTCATCACAGGAATGTCAGATATGAAGACTATATGATAGTTTTTAGCTATTGCAATATAATCTGCTGCCCCTACCTGAAGAAAATCAAGATTACTATAAGCCGAAACATATACAAAGCAAGTACTTTAGGCAAGATTGTTTCATAAAGTAAGAATCCAATACATTGAATAGAGCTTAGTATGTATGAAGATAAGATGCTTTGATGTGGCCTGCCTCTCTTCCTGATATCATGGAAGAATGAAAGCTAACTCTTAGAAAACGAAGTGTGGCACAGGGTGGGCTTAAATGTTAAAGTCAAAACAAACATAATGATGATAATAATTTATTATCAAATATTAAAAGACTGATAAAAATTAAGATCTCTCTGATTGCTATTTACTCATGACTCATGACAAATACTGATTACTGACTATTAGCACTAGTATTATAAGATCAATGATTAAATAACTCATTAGATCAAGATCAAAATAAGAGCTAGATTAACTATAATACTATTTTATCATACAGGGGCAAACATACTACTGGGCGACCACATAGATATTCGAATGTGAATCTTGCTACCCCATTACACCTTTCAGGACCCTCTAAAGTTCTGATTTAAAACATAATGCAAGCATCAATTGGAATCAGCTTATCTTAGGAGTAAATTGTGTTCAGATTGAATGTGTTACCTTCCAAACATCACTGGAATGGTAGTAGCACTAATCCTTCCTCCAGATTTATTGATGATTTTGCACCATATTTTATCAAATTCTTTAACAACATGGCTATCTAAAGGCCAGAAGTAGTGTCCTAGGGATGATAACCACAGAGAGACAGTAAGGAGATTAAATTTCAGATGGAAGTTGAGATGATAACCACAAAGAGACCATCCTCAGAATTCTAAATGTGCAAATCACATTCTGAAAAAAAAAAAAAGATAAACATCTATTCACAAACAAATCATTTGAACTCCCATATTTTTGCATCAGTACAGATTAAATTACACTTTAGCAAGGCAACAAACTAGTAGAAACAACCAATTTTAGCATGCATTTCAAACTTTCTACTAAGATCTATATAAAACATACTTTTCTAGAAGGAAAATGGAGGAAACTTACCTTGCTGTAGTCTAGTCAAATCTACAACTAGAAAACTAGGGAGTAATGAAGAGAGAGTGAGAGAGAGAGAGAGAAAGAGAGTGTGAAATCTAATAGCAAAAAGAAATACATTGTGGTCTGGTCTGATCTACAATAGAAAGACAGGGGAGGAATGAAAAAGAGTGTGAGAGAGAGAAGAAGAGGAAGAAGAAGAATAGGAGAGGAGAGAGAGCAAAATTGACAGTGACTTACCTTGCCTTCGCTGGAGTTTCAGTCCAAATTCGTTCTTCTTTAGCTGTAAGGAGAGAGAGACGAAAGATGAGTGAGACAGGGTTAGAAAAGTTGAATCAAGTAGTGAAAAGGCTTGGAGGGCTTTAATGTAATTTTGTTTTTTGTTATTTGAAGAAACGGGAATGGGATTCCGATTCCTAGGGGGTGGGTCGGGAATGGCCATTACCTCAAAAGGGGGATTGTCGTTCTGCTCAGAATGGGAATTGGATTCTGATTCCGCCCAACCAAACGCCTGGAATCAGAATGATCCATTCCGATTTGAATTCCGGACTCCTATTTCTGCGAACCAAATGGAGCCTTAGCTCTAATTATAATTACCATTTTTTCTCCTACAGTTTCTTGGTTTTGTATGTTGGATTTACCCACTTGTTGATCTCTAGCTAGTGACATAACGTTGATAATAAATTTTAATAGAGGAGCCCGAGTATAATATGGCTAGCTCATAATATTAAATTTAATTAATTTGGTAAGGAGAATTGCAAGCTAAGATTACTAACTAAATTACATGCATCATTTCATTTGCAGGGCTATGCAAACTGAATAAACTAGAGGAGCTAAATTTCAACTCTAATAATGGCTTTATGAGTCATCTGGATTCATGTTTAGGAAATTTGACAAGACTTCGGCTCTTGGATCTATCTTACAATCAGTTTGAAGGAAACATTGATCCGTGTATCATTAATGGTCTCACCTCACTTGAGTACTTCGATCTTTCAAACAATCACTTCCAAGGTCCATTTTCATTTAATTCGTTGGCTAACCTTTCCAACCTTGAGGTATTCCAACTTCAGAATAACCAGCTTCAAGTGGAACCCGACCTCCCAGCTCTGATACCAATCTTTCGCCAATTGAAAATCTTGCACCTGTCAAGCTTCACACTCAACAATCCACCTAGTCCATTGCCTAATTTCCTTCACTACCAATCTGATTTGAGGGTAGTTGACCTCTCCCACAATAACTTTAATGGTTCCCAATTTCCCACTCAGATGCTAGAGAATAATGCAAGACTAGAGGTACTGAATATAATGAATAATTCCTTCATGGGCGTTCCTGTTCTACCATCTCATCCCTGTCCAAATTTGATTATTTTAGTTATTTCTCATAATCGATTTCATGGTCAAATCCCAGAAAATATTGGAGTTATCTTTCCTAACTTACAAATTTTGAGCATGTCAACAAATGCTTTTAGAGGAAAAATTCCTTCTTCAATTGGAAACATGAGATGGTTAGAAGTACTGGATCTTTCTAACAATTCTCTATCAGGACAAATTCCTGAGCACATCGTCACGGGATGCTCAAGGTTGCATTTCCTCAAGTTGTCGAACAACAATTTGCATGGCCAAATGCTTCCAACAGTTTTTAACTTAACTCGTCTGATGTACTTACACCTAGATGGAAATCATTTTACAGGAAACGTTCCATTCAGTTTATCTAAGAGCTTGAGTCTGAAAGTATTGGATGCAAGTGATAACAACATCGCTGGTAGGCTTCCTGGATGGTTGGGGAATTTATCAGACTTACAAGTACTTATCATGGCCAATAATCATTTTAAAGGACCAATTCCAGCCGAGTTCTGTGCACTTGGGAAACTTACATTTGTGGATCTTTCCATGAACAATCTTAATGGCTTAATACCATCTTGCTTCCCAAAGAGTTTGGAATATGTACATCTACAGAAGAATGAGCTTGAAGGACCAATCAGAGAAGCCTTTTCTAATAGCACCGGTTTGGTGACATTGGACATAAGTGATAACATGTTAAATGGTAGTCTACCAAGATGGATTGGTAATCTTTCATCATTGGGAGTTCTTCTATTGAAAGGAAATCGATTGGAAGGTAACATTCCCATCCAGTTATGCCATCTAGACAAGATAAACATAATGGATCTTTCTCACAATAATCTTTCTGGTCCTATACCTTCTTGCTTGAAAAACTTGACATTTCAAAGGCTAGACGGAACAACTCATAGATTTAATATGGATGAACTAGATGATCCATTTTACGTTTCTGGGCCTGGTATAACTATGTCTTATTCATTTTATTCATCATATGTCTACAAGAGTTCACTTCGGGAATTTACATTTTCCCAGAATTCTGGTTTTTTTAAAACAATCATGGAACAAGTGGAGTTTACTACAAAAAGCAGGTATGACATTTACAAGGGAATTGTTCTCGAACTCATATTTGGACTTGATCTCTCATGTAATCAATTAGTAGGTAACATTCCACCTGAAATTGGAGAATTACATGGGATCCATGCATTGAACCTATCCCACAATCATTTAAGTGGAAGCATTCCAACAACCATTTCAAATTTGAAGCAATTGGAGAGCTTGGACCTTTCTTTCAATAATTTGGTTGGGACAATTCCTCCACAGATTACAGAGTTACACTCTTTGTCAGTTTTTACGGTGGCCTACAACAACTTATCAGGAAAGACTCCTGAGCAGAAGGAACAGTTTGCAACATTTGGGAAAAGTAGCTATGAGGGCAACCCTCTTCTTTGTGGAGAGCCATTAGAGAAAAGTTGCCCAGGTGAGACTAGAGAACCATCTTCAGCACGACCAACTTCTAATGACCAGGAAAGAGGCTTTGACATGGACACCTTCATTATGAGCTTTGTAGCTTCTTATATAACGGTGCTTTTGGGAATGGCTGCAGTCTTCTATATAAACCCCTATTGGCGACGTCAATGGTTTCATCTCATTCATGTTTGTATCACCTCCTGCTACTACTTTGTTGTGGATAATCTCCATAAGTTTTCAGTGTTTTAAATATTTGGACATGAATCTTCTATTTGTTTTTTCTACCAAAATAAATCTTGTATTAATTTGCTTTATGTGAAGGTTTTTTTAATCCCCAAGCTTTACTTCAGGTCCAAGTCGATTATCAAAAGACAAAAGAAAAAAAAAACTTTACTAAAGGTAAAGGGGTGACCACCTTGCACATTTTATGAGCCATTATCAAAATGAAGGAAAATGAGAACATGAAATATGACATAGAATGCCTTGCCTCAAAAGCCAATAACTAAACCGAACCCATTACAAAAAAAGAAGACAACATTAAGAAAATTTATTCCTAGGGATTAGAATTCCATGGATATCCTCAAGGATCAAAATTTTCTTATATTGTTTTGCAACTCAGGTTGCAATCAAGCGGAGTTGAGTTGAATATTGGGCTATTTGAGCTCAACTTGACTCAAAAACTCTGCTCGAAATTCAATTCGAGCTTGACTGAGTTCCAAGTTTCCTAGTTGAACTCGACTCGGGTTGATACTCTTGCTCGACTCGAACTGACTATTAATAAATTAATATTATATATTATAAATAAAAATATATTATGAAACTTGATTATAAATTTATTTATTTATATTGTAATTAATAATATATTAAAAAAATAATATTTCATTATAACTTGGTATTTTAAAGCTTGAACTCGCTCAACTAAATACGTACTTGATTTGGATGTGATTATCTCGGAGTTGAGTTTGAGTATTTAGGAAGATGAGCTTGAATAACTTGTTTACACCAATGTTAGAGATAATCGAGTAAGAATTATCCCTACCTAGCTGGCTAGCTCCTATACCCTAATTTACAAGAGCGTCCATTTGACTCATGGTAGTATGAGAAATAAAGTGTTGGGCAAAGCCACTTTCAACAACATTTTATTTGCAACTTAAGGCTCAGTTCGATAAGTGTATGTTTCACAGTATATCAACTTCCTTCAGGTATGTTTTTTGGCAACTTACGTGAAAAAGTTTTACTCATCTTACGAGTGGATGAATTACTTATTAATGGAGAGGAAAATTTTGGCCAAACTATGTAAGGTTAAAATGCCTCTATCAACACGTAAAACTTAGAGATCTTAAAAAATTTTCTAATCGATCACTTACCTAACATTTCTTTACAAAGGAACATGGCGAAATGTACTTAGTACTTTCCAGGTAACACTTATTCAGTGCATTTACTGAGACTAGCAACTTACTGCCAAACAAGCAAGGCCTTATTGCAGTCAAGTTGAACATAGATGGTACTTGTAGATAGGAATTGCAATGGAACAAGGTAGGATCAATTATTGTATACCATTCTTAACCCTGAACCAAGGTTTAAAGTATTGATACAGTCCGATACGTTGGACTAGGCATATCGGTCTATATTGTTCCTCGCCCTCATATTTAATTTTAGTTTTTCTCTTTGAAACTTGTTCAGGGAGGTTGGTTTAAGGCCTGCATACCCTGTGAAATTGGAAATTGGTGGACCCCCGAAACACTTAGTGTGAGAGCATATTGGAGGGTAGGGTCCCTGATATGATACATATCAGCCGATATGCCTTAAAATGCAATGAAATTTTAATCCTTTCCTCGACATATGTATTGCACCTATCCCCATCCTATATCTTGGCGGGGTTGGAAATGCTAGCCCAGTCTCAATCTTTAAGGAATGAGTATCCCTAAATTTTTCATGGCCCACCTAGCCATTGTTATCTAAAGGGAAGCCTAGTGCATGAGGCTCCTGTCAATTTGGGGTATGGGGAGGGACAGATGTATGCAGCCTTACTCCTATACATACAAAAAGGTTGTTTGCAAGAATTGAACTCTAGACATTCCTATCTATAAACCTATTATTTTTGTTGTTTTTTTTTTTTTTGAAATCTGCCTATTTATCCTTAAAGAACATCAATTTATATAATTTTCAAATAGAAATCCAAAAGTAGCAATTTAATAGCTCAAAGCCTTAAATACAACAATTCTTCAAAGCATTCAAATAATAATGGTCCATCCAAAATCAAGCAAAACTTATATAAATAAATGCAATTATATATTGATCCACTCGTAAGATAAGTAAAACTTTTTCACGTAAGTTGCCAAGAAAGCATACCTGAAGGAAGTTGATATACTGTGAAACATACACTTATCAAAAAGAGAATGTAGAAAGGTTGATCAACTTAATTTGAGCCACGTTTTTCAGAACTTGAGATTATTCTTATGTCTAGTTAGAAACAAAATGAGTAAAAATGGTGGAGAGGACTTCCCAATTTGCAGTAATAACTGCAATAATGAAAGAAACTTCTTCATCATTTCACAAGAAGAAATGATGCAACAAAGCGTCTAATGCACAAATCGTCAAACAAGCATTCATACAATATTTTTATCAAGGTTTTTAAAATTGGACCCAACAGGGAATTGTTCCGGGTCCGGTTCTTAGGTTAGATTGTCTGACCATTTGGTCTAAACAAACAACCCTCTCTGACAAAAAAAGTAAAAAATTTAAAAACATAAAAAATTGTTAAAAACCATTCCCGGATCAAACGGTTTGACAGTTCGACCGCCCAAATCAATAATTCACTGATCAAATTAACGGTTTTTAGCAAAAAGTCATGGTGGATGGTGACCGCCCAGGTCAGATTTAAAACGGAGTGACTGGTTCCCGATTTAAATCTAAATCTGGTCCAACCGTCCGGTTCGGCCCGATTTTGAAAACATTGATTTTACCAAAAAGTCATGGTGGATGGTGAGACTCATCCTGCTCTAAAATCAGAAGACCATTCATAATTCCCACAATATAATGAGTTATTGACTGCTGCTCCAAGTTCAACCATGTCAAGACACGCAAACCTAGCTAACTTTTACAACCTTCTTAATCTATAGTGGGCCATCTCTGTGGAAATTACATCCACTGACTTCACCAAATGGGTACTTTGCCAAAAAGTTAAAGCCCATGCGTTTCTAACTTTCCTACAATTCCTACTAATATTGTAACATGTGATGACTGATGAGAGTGACTTTGGACAAATAAACGTGATTTCTTCATGGCTCCCATTTAATTCTATTAGACTCTGTTACTTGTATATTTCTAAATGCAAGTAAAGTGGTGAACAGTTGTGGTTTCGTAGAGGTGACCTCTAAAGATAATTGTTAATTATGTTCTTTTAATTGGTTCTTTTCTTAGTGTTAAACTACACCAAGAGATCCAACTTGAAGAACATGGGCCCACGGCCCATTTGATCTAACTCAAAGCCTTGTTTGACAGGGATCCGTTGACACAATACACAAGCCAACAAAGAAAGTGGGACCCGACATGTATGAGGTGTGCAGTGTGAAATCAGGTTGGTAGGTAGTTGGAATGTATTTTGTTGATAGGTCATCCAGACACTAAGGTAGAAAAAGTTGAAAAAGAGAATCTAAACATAAATATTTTCATAAATTTATTCTTATCTTAAATTCTCAATTTCAGTTCTATCCAAATTGGACTTAAGGCTGTGTTTGGTTGAAGTATAATTTTATTTGTACAAATGTATGGGAGTGCAAATGTAAAAAATGCAAATTCTTGTTTAATTTTATTTTGGATTTTAATTTTTATTGTACTTTATTTTTTAATTTACTTTGTTTGTATGCATTCAAACAAAATAAGCTTAAATTTGAAATAAAATTAGGTCAGAATTTACATTCAAACTATTTGCACTACCATGATTTTGCATCAATACAAATTTATTTACATTGCAATCAAACACAGCCTAAGCCTCAATTTGGAAGAAATACAAATATAGCTATGCACAATACAAACCAAATATTTTGTATGTATTCGTATTATACATATTTGTACTTGTACTTCTTTTAAACTGAGCCTAAGTGCATATTACTGAAAGCATACGATACCAAATAGTCACAATTGAAAATTAAGGCCCTCAGTTATCACCACCCCCAAGGTACAGGGACAAACTACAAGATACACAGGTTACCTATATTTACTCTATATATAACATATACGTAAATTAAGTCGGACCTATGCATTTAGCTCAGGAACGAGCAAATTAAGCTCTAGCTCTACTTATGTATTGATAATGCGCGATCTGGATACTACTAGCTGGAAGATGACTGGGACCTTAATCACGTGGCGAGTTGGACCAAGCTGCAAGATAAAGAATCAGAGAACCCGAGGTGGTTAATCCGGCGAGGCTGCTCCAATGCTTAAGTCAGTACTATATTGTGGATGCGAGCTGAATACTTGAGTGCTAGAGTGCTAGTGAGCAAATAACTGCGCGTACCTTTGCCTTGAAGATCGATGCCTTTATATAGTTGAATAGTCGTGATCCTTATAAAAAGGCTCTGGGATCCCCGGGCTACATAGATAAGATCCATTCTGTTTTTTAAGGAGAACAATGCACTAGTTGATAAGGTTTATCACTTTCCTCCAATTCGGATGGGGTGAGGATGAGCCCTGTTATTAGACATCGTGATTCCGGGAGATTTGGAATCCGTTGGGGAAACTTCTGGAATCGATTACGTGGTGATTCGACTCTTTGGTCCCGAACTTGCACCTCGGTTCTTTGGCTCCGAAATGGATTAGGTACCGAGGAGCCTTTATGGCGAGGTGCTCAAGGCCCCAAGCTCCTGAGCTGCTGGCGAGGCTCCCTTGCTGAATTGTCATCCTAGTGACTGATTGTGTCCACATCTACTTCGATTGTTATGTTGGGCCAACTTACCCCTCATCATGTACTATAGTTAGTTGCTATCCCCAGTTTCCAGAAAGAGCTGCTGCATGGTGCCAGATGAAGAAACTAGTACATCACTTCATCGAGATTACATCTGCGCCTCATGGAGGTTACCCCAGAGGGCGCCTCACACAAACGCTCCACATGCATGTCTCAGCAAGTATTGGGAACATCTCCTAAATTTGTGTGAGTGAGTGATGTTTCTAATACATGGTTGGGATATTTTATTGCGCATGTAGATGTGAATTTCAATTCACCAGAGGAAATAGTCAAACAACTACTCACATTATATTCTTATTAAGTTTTCAAG